TGTGAGCAAGGTAACATTTATGAAGGAATTCATTGAAACTGGTTAGCCAGATTTAAGTCCTGGAGGTAGGAAGTACAGTGCTTATACTCTGAGGAGAGGGTAGGGATACTGGAGTCTGGAAGGGCATCTGAGGTGTAATACTGGCATGCCTCTGGTAATATATAAAAGTCTGTGACCTATATTAGGAGCACTATGACCTAAAATTCTCTTTGTAAGCTTTTAGTTTTAAGAATGTAATAAAACATGATATAGTACCTCCAATGGTCAATGTCTCACATGTTATGTACTATACAAAATTATGACCATATTGGTCTGTTAATACGACTGTACATGTGGTTCAAGAACCTCCTCCCTCTCTCTCTCTTTTTTTTTTTTTTTTTTTTTTTAGCCACACTGGTAATTTGATGCTGTTTTTGACAGCCATGAGGAAACTAACAGTTAATCCTGTTATGCCATTCTAAGGTATGCTGTAATGAGGTTATGCTGTAATTACAGTGTATACTTTTTATAACTGCTATGCAATGCTAAGCAAAGTATACTATGGCTAAATTATGAGTAAGCATGACTTTGGCCAATATAGTAACATTAAAATACTACAATGATGTAGTACTTGTCCTGCTGTATGATCAATTTCCCACATCAAACCTACCTGAACCAAAGTAACATTCCCTATTTTCCAGTACCATACAATGTTATCATAATGTTACAACAGTAGCCATGGTAACTTTAAATCATGTTAAAATTAAAGATCTGTTGGTAACGTTTCCATAAACAGATAAGAGTTGCAACATTCAGTAATACAACTAATGAAGCCATAATATTTTTCACATTTCACTGCATCTTTGCTTTTCCATTATAAAACATATTCAGACAGTTATACAAGGTACTGGTTGCTTTCTTAGCAGAAAAAAGCTCAAAAATCTCCATTCTGATGTTCACTGTACTTACTGCTAAAAGCTTGTGTACTCTTTATGTACAGCATCACTCGAGCAATAAGTGGCACCGTTCAAGAGCTGTGAACAGTATCACTTGATGCTATGAGAAGTGATCTTGCCACTTATACAGTATACATCATAATGTCTTCTGTGCTGTAATAAAATAACTTGAAGAAAATTTTCTGGGAGGTATATCATCTTGTATTTACAAAAGAGCAACATTCATGTGATAAGTAAAGTTTTACAGTGGTAAACCCTCGATTTAGAGACACCTGATTCACAAACAATGGACAAAGTCCATTGGTTACAGAACTGTCCATTACTGTTATGATATCATGTGACAAAACAATTTGTCTGAAAAAAAATCACCATTACTGACCCCCTGCTTTTTACCCATTAAGCTATTACATCGAGGGCTTACTATTTTATAAGCACTCTCAGATCTCTTTAGTAATGGAATTTCAAAATTAAGACACCATCACATCTTGACAGGTGAGTAAATGAGATTTGACTGCCCTCAAAATGCACATTCCTCTGTTTTGACTATAGTCACTGATTATCACTTTAACTCTCATTTATATATAATATATTTAATTTCTAACCCCTACTTATTTTAAATACAATTAACACAGTTAATACATGATCTGCTAACACATTTTTGCCTTAACATGGTTGCAAAGTTGAAGCATATTTTCAAGTGAACACACCATATTAATCAGTTCAGAAAGCTGAGTACATGTAGGGAAAAACTTGGCATGTTCTGTGTTTTTTCCCATTTCATGGTGAGTATACAGGCGAGTCCATTGTTTTACAAGGAAGATCTATTTTAATTTACAACCTCCCTTGCCTCAGTGCTCCATTCATGTGTGTCCAGTATCATACCTCAGCCACAGACTCCTCCGACAAACCACCTGCCTCCATCCATTCCTTGTTGCACACCCAGCAACTTAACTTGCCATCCACACACCTGATCACTTAGTTACTGTCACTCTTATTACTGCCCATACAACCAACTGCACCAGACCACCATCTCAACCACATCTTTCACCCACACCACTCACCAACAGCTTCGAGCCCACAAATCCCAATGCTTACTCCTTAGTAATGTTTCCATGGCTCACACACTATCACACACCAAGTCACGTAATTACTCACTAACCTCATTACCACATCCACCACCAACTACACACTCACTAAGTCATCCTAACACTGCCTTGCTGTTTCCAGCATCCCCCTCCCTGCCCCCACACTCCACTGCCACCCAGAATTCTCCACCTTCCAACACCAGCCTCCAGCTCCTGGCCCCACCCCTCTGCTTAGTCTCCACCCATGCCAGCAGTCCCCCAATCCCCACACTGAACTCCCCCTCACTCCAACACCAATCTAACCCCTGCCTTGTACACTCCATCCCCCACACTCTAGACCCTTCTTTCTAGCCTCTATACAGCTTAAAAGAGTGCAACAACTAAACAATAATGAACCTTCATCTGCTAGTAGAAATCTGTATGCAGGATCTTTGACTGACACACATTACTACGTGTATCGACATACAAATACGTTATCATTCTCTACAATTTTGCGACCTAAATTTTTTTTTGTGGGGTGGGGGGGGGGGGAAGAGCTATAGAACATACCCTTACTTGTCCCATGTGTTCTTTATTTCATTTTATGAATTTTTATTTTTACACCCCATTTTGAGGAATATAACTACAGTGGACCCCCGGTTAACGATAGTTTTTCACTCCAGAAGTATGTTCAGGTGCCAGTAGTGACCGAATTTGTTCCCATAAGGAATATTGTGAAGTAGATTAGTCCATTTCAGACCCCCAAACATACACGTACAAACGCACTTACATAAATACACTTACATAATTGGTCGCATTCGGAGGTGATCGTTATGCGGGGGTCCACTGTACTGTGTTAACCGATGGTAAACTGTGGCTCTGCAGTTCAAGAACCCTTTTGATAGACTTGGAAATCTTTTCAATATTTTTAAAATATCTTAGAACACTTACATTTTGTAAGCTACATGGTCAAGACTATTGTCTTGGCAGTGCTCAAGACTATGCAGAGCATTTCGGGCAAATTAGTCTAATGTCTTGAGCACTACCAACTGCTTAACTGCAACAATCATTCAAAGAGGAATTAAAAACTAAATACTGTACTTGCTAACTCTGACTACTGTAATACAATGCACACACATGCACCCACACACACCCTTAATAACAAAACAACATCCCAATCTGGACTCAAAGCTGCACCAAAATATATTCACAACAACAAATAAATTAATGAAATTTGTTAATAACTATATTAAATATTCTCAGTGAAAAATGACCAACATGAACTATGCTATCATAAGAAGCCTAATTTGTTACAAATAAAAACAACTAACCATTGGGGCAATGGCAGAGTGCCAGTCAATAACAGTTTATGGATAGAACACTGATCCTTGAATTCCAACTACTTAGTAGAATTTTAAGTGCTGGTCTGGGAACATATGCAGCATCTATGAAGGCGAGTAATTCACAACAATTAAACATTAATGTTTCAGTTACAGGCTCCTTAGCTCTCCACCTTTGTATACCTAGTTAAGAGTTCCGTTCAATTAAGGAATGAGCCCATGATACATAATGAAATTAACAATTCAGTATTTTGTAATGATTAACAACCAAAAGTTTTTTTTAACTGAGATAATTATAATTTAGATGGATAGCTCAAGTCTACAAGCAATTAGGAATTCTAGATGCACTGACGTTTAATTTCAATCAACAAATCTTCTCATAATAAAGTTAAAATTACAAAAAAATTGCACTATTCTTAAATTTTCTATTATATGGCAAATACTGTACATTATATTGTATTTAAGTTTTAATATTAAAATCTTATGAAAGCTTGCTCTTGCCAGAGAAATGTATGCTGTATGCAATCCTAAACACAAACTTACTTGCGAAGTTGCAAAATAAATGCATTGGTAATGTACATGATAATCATGAAACTTATTGTATCAGTACAGTAACAGGTATACTTGTTGGTACATGCCTCTTAGAAAAAAATTGTGATGAACTTTCAAAACCCCAGGACCAATTTTAAGAGGCACTCTTCATATACCCTGGATAGGCTTCTGTATCCTCCCCTCTCCCTGTTATCTCTTTGGGAAAGAGACCATGACAATATACCAAGGCTCTTCCCAGTAGTTAAAAGGTTTGGGATTATGGGCCCAACCAGGTTTTCCTAGATTCAGCACTGCACTCCATACCACATTTCAATGACTAGCATAATTTCTCTTACAGCTGCTATCATAAAAGAGGAAAATAACATCTTAGACATGTTGCCAATCTTTTGTGGAAGAGTTCCCTATGTGTCTCCATGTGCCACAAGGGACCAGCTTTATACACACTGGAGATAACAACACTACATATGAATGGTCACATGAGTAAGCTCACCCATTATGGGACGAGACTCACGAGTAATACAATAAATTCAACAATATTACAACCTGTGTGTGTGTGTGTGTCCGTCCATGTCTGTGTCCGTGTGTGTGCATGTCCGTGCGTGTGTATGTCCGTGTGTGTTCGTGTGTGCACGTGTGTGTCCGTGTACAACCTGAGTGGCTTACTATGAAATCAAGAATCACTTATGTATTTATAGGTTTTACAATATACCAGTCATATTTCATTCTTGCATGGATAAAAAGTAACCTACTGTAACTTTACAACAACTGTAAAATTACAGTAATATAACAGCAGGCTACAATATGCTAACAGTCTTTACCTTACTGTAAACAACCAGTATGTCAGATAAAAAAAAAAATAGCAGAACAAGGAACAAATGGGCACTAACTAGCACCTTGGCTCTCATGATGGAAAACTTATTGATAATATTACACTATGACATCAGTTCAATCTTTATATAAAAAAAAAATTTAATCTTTCAAACACAATTCAGCACCACCCACCACCGTGCAACAATCAAGCACATCAAACTTGAAAAAAAAAAATTTGAGATACAAAATTAGGTCACTGACAAGTCTTTGCATTTTACAGTCTGTAATCACACACTATATTATGAATAGAAAACTGAGTTTATTTTTCCATTTACAGTGGAAGAGAATATCATAGCTTCATTAGTAATATTATAAAATACCTATTAGTGATAAAACTGATTTGTGGGAATATCTTTCCACAACAAAAGCCATCAGTAATTCACATGGAGCAATCAAGTATTTCACAAAAATAAGCTCAATACTGATCAAGCATTTCAGTCACAAATTTTAAACAGAGGAGATATGTTTAAAAAATAAACTACATATCCTAAATATGATACCTGTAAATGCTTTCACAATCGCCTTTACTCAGCATGCTCTCCACGTACCATCCACTTAATAGTAAATTAACACACGCTGAAGTCCCAAAGTTTGACAGTTTTATCGTAAGACCCGCTTACTATCACGTGATCATTAAATGCGAGGCACGTGACCCCATCGGTGTGGTTTCTCAGAGTCACTAACCGACGACGGGATTCACGATCCCATACCTGAAATATATCGATGAACTGATTAATCTGAAAGCACCTAAAAGCTGAAGAAGGCTTACATTAATACCTATTCAGAAAAACACGTTTCCCTTTTTTTTTAACATATCGACTGTTTCCCACTGAGGCGAGGTGACCCAGAAGGTAAAATGAGAGTTTCTCCTTTTACATTTAGTAATATATACGTATAGGAGAAGGGGTTACTATCCCCTTGCTCCTGGCATTTTAGTTTCCTCTTATGAAACACATGGCTTACAGAGGAAGAATTCTGTTCCACTTCCCCATGGAGAAAAGTGGAAATAATAAAGAACAAGCACCAGTAAGAAAAATAGAAGAAAACCCAGAAGGGTGTGTTTATATATGCTTGTACATGTATGCGTAGTGTGACCTAAATGTAAGTAGAAGTAACAAGACATACCTGAAATCTTGCATGTTTATGAGACAGAAAAAAGACACCAGCAATCCTACCATCATGTAAAACAATTACAGGCTTTCGTTTTACACTCATTTAGCAGGACGGTACTGCCTCCCTGAGTGGTTGCCGTCTACCAACCTACTACCTAGGAGAGAGAGAGATTTATTTAAGGATGAGTAAACTGTGGCAAAGATGTTTATGTTCATCAAACACTGTGATGCTTATAATATTTATTTATTCATGAACTTAGATCAGATGTTGGTGCAAATACTGTGATGAATGATGAAAATACTATTATGGTACACTTTAAACAACGTATACAGTATCCAATATTAGTGATTCCCTACCCTTTCTACAGAAAATGCAATTTATCTATTTATGTAATGTCACCATGGTTGTTTAATATACAGTGGTCCCTCAATAATCGTCCGGCTCGATAGTTGTCCTTTTTGGAAATCGTCACGTTATTCTCGTCCAAACATTGGCTCGCAAATGGTCGGTTTACTCTCTAATCGTCCTTCGTCCGGGACGCGTAATCACGCTCTGAGCCGCCTCGGCCTCCCTTCCCAGTCAGTGTACCATTGTTTACCATTGAGCGGCGGTCCCCTCAATTGTTCATACAAAATATTTCATATTCCATTCATTTTGGTGCTTACAAGTGCTAAATAAGGTACCATGGCTCCAAAGAAAGCTCCTATTACCAAGCTTTTGGTAAAGAAAGTGAGAAATACAATTGAATTTAAGAAAAACATCATTGAACAATATGAAAGTGGCGTACTTGTAGCTGAACTGGCCAGCCGAGGAGCTGCAAGAGCTTCAGCAGGAACAGGAGCAGGAATAGATCACAGCTCAGAATCTTACTGCAGAGGAGGAGGAAGAGATGGAAGAAGGTGCCTTCTTCAGAAATTAAGGAGATTTTTGAAATGGAGAAGCATCACCCTGAGAAGGATGTTGCAAGCCATATCGGCAACTTGTACAGTGACAGAGTCTTGGCCCATGTTAGGGAAATTTTAACCCTTTCAGGGTCCGTCCCGTAGATCTACGGCTTTACGTTCAGTGTCCAAACCGTAGATCTACGTCATGAGCTCAGCTCACTCTGATAAACTGTGAGTGGTAAATTTGGGCCTAGATATGAGAGAATACATCTATGTGGTATGTGTGCACCACATAAAACAAATCCTGCAGCACACTGTGTATAATGAGAGGAAAAAAACTGAGACCGTGATTTTCGATTAAAACAGCGACTTTGCAGTGTTTTTTCGTATGTTTTTTATAGTTGTATTTGTGATTTCTTGGTCTCATTTGATAGAATGGAAGACATATTACAGAAATAGAGATAATTTTGATTGGTTTTAGCACTGGAAATGGCTTGAAACTGAGCTCAAAGTGGCGGAAATGTTAAATTTTTGCCGATGTTCAAGAGTAAACAAACAACCTCACACGTCTAATACACGCCAGCTGGTGGGTCTAATATACATTCATAAATGTGGTGATGATATTTATACAATTATTACAATATTGCATAACAGTAAATCTTCTATTTTTTGGTGTGAATAAAAATTCATTATGTGAATAAAAAATCAAAATGGAATTTATTTGTAAAGCCTCAAAACATAACTAATGAACAGAGGAAATGTTAGTTTAGTGCCAGGAATACCTACATTGTTTATTCTGGATCCTATTTTGAAATTGGAATATTTTGAACTTTGTGTTAAATTGGCCAAATTATCAATTTCCGGTCACTTTATTTTGTAGTTGAAACAGTTGACTTGGCGATTTCTTGTGCTCAATCGATAGAATAGAAGTAATCCTAGTGAAATAGCTAAGAATTTGGTTGACTGGAATAATGTAATTGGCCTAAAATGGGAGTCAAAGTCGGCAAAATCGCCGATTCGTAAATATCGCTGACACATCAAAATTCACGAGAGCATAATTTCGTCAATTTCCCATCAAATTTCGTACTTTTTGTTTTATTACATTCACAAAAAGATTCTCTACCATTTCATAAGAAAAAAATAATTTTTTTTTTTGAAAATTCTTGGACACTGGGGCACCACGTCAGATTTTGGCCTTGGACCCTGAAAGGGTTAAAGAGATGCCAGAAACAGAGCTCTCTGGACATTTTTTTTTGTGAGACAGGACTCCAGTGACTCTCAAGCTAGTCCTAGTGGCATTAAGAAACAGAGAAGAGAAGTAACCCCAGAAAAGCACTTGGTACTTGAGGTGTTGATGAAAGGGGATTCCCCTTCCAAACAGTAACTAATCCAATCTCTCTCCTCCTCCAGTCTTCCATACACTAAGAAGAATCACCAATAAAAGTAAGTGTTATGCTGTTAATGTTTCATTCATCATGTCTCATTGTATTGTTTATGTACTACATCTATATTGCATGTAAAAAAATTTTTGTTTTAATACTTCTGGGTGTCAGAAACGGATTAATTGTATTGACATTATCGAAAATCATCTTTTTCGATAATCGTCGCATTTCCAGGAACGGATTAACGACGATAAATGAGGGACCACTGTATTTCTAGATGGGGTTGTAAAAGAAGTAAATGCTAGGGTGTTGGGGGAGAGGAGTGGGATTAAATTATGGGGAATCAAGTACTAAATGGGAGTTGACAGTTACTTTTTGCTGATGATACTGTGCTTATAGGAGATTCTAAAGAAAAGTTGCAAAGGTTAGTAGACGAGTTTGGGAGGGTGTGCAAAGATAGAAAATTAAAAGTGAACATAGATAAGAGTAAGGTGATGAGGGTATTAGATGATTTAATAAATAAAAATTGGATATCACATTGGAGAGAGGGAGTATGGAAGTGAATGTCTTCAGATATTTGGGAGTTGACTTGTCAGCAGATGGGTTTATGAAGGATGAGGTTAACCATAGAATTGATGAAGGAAAAGAGGTGAGTGGTGCATTGAGGTATCTATGGAGACAAAAAACGTTATCTATGGAGGCAAAGAAAGGAATGTATGAAAGTATAGTGGTACCAACACTATTATATGGGTATGAAGCTTGGGTTGTCAATGCTGCAGCGAGGAGGCGACTGGAGGCAGTGGAGATGTTCTGTCTAAGGGCAATGTATGGTGTAAATATTATGCAGAGAATTTGGAGTGTGGAAATTAGGTGTGGAGTTACTAAAAGTATTAGAGGGCTGAAGAGGGGTTGTTGAGGTGGTTTGGTCATTTAGAGAGAATGAATCAAAGTAGAATGACTTGGAGAGCATATAAATCTGTAGGGGAAGGAAGGAGGGGTAGGGGTCGTCCTTGAAAAGGTTAGAGGGAGGGGTAAAGGTTTTGTGGGCGAGGGGGTTGGACTTTCAGCAAGCATATGTGAGCATGTCAGATAGGAGTAAATGGAGATGAATGGTTTTTGGGACTTGACGAGCTGTTGGAGTGTGAGCAGGGTAATATTTAGTGAAGGGATTCAGGGAAACCAGTTATTATAGATTTAGCCGGACTTGAGTCCTGGAAATGGGAAGTACAATGCCTGCACTTTAAAGGAGGGGTCTGGGATATTGACAGTTTGGAGGGACTTCTCAACTGTCGTATCTTAGCACCTCTGCAAAGACAGTGATTGTGTGTGAGTGATGTGAACGTGTTGAATGATGATGAAAGTATTTTTTTTTGGGGGGGAGGGGATTTTCTTTTTGAGTCACCCTGCCTTGGTGGGAGACGTCCGACCCATTGAAAAAAAAAAATTATTACTAAATAGCAAATCCTGCTTGTATGCATTATGGACGTGACAATAAACAGGCCAACTCTCATGAAGCAGCTCACACTGCTGTCAGCATTTAAAAATATGTACACTGCAATCTATATTGATGCTGAAATATCAAAGCCAGAAGCTCTGACCAGCTATTTATCAAGTAAGATTGATACATGAATCCCTGTAGTTAAAATATATCTTAATTTACTCCAGTTCTCCAAACTTTGTTACCTCATTATTATTAATAAATAACAAAAAGGCAAAATACCGTGACTGGAACGATACACAAATAGCCCGCACATAAAAGAGAGAAGCTTATGACGACGTTTCGGTCCGACTTGGACCATTGACAAAGTCACAGTGTGACTTTGTCAATGGTCCAAGTCGGACCGAAACGTCGTCGTAAGCTTCTCTCTTTTATGTGCGGGTTATTTGTGTCTCATTATTATTATTATTATTATTATCATAGGGAGTGCAAAACCCTAGGGATGTTACCTCTAATTAGTAGATTTACGGTACCACCTGTAAATGTGTCAAAACTATAGTGTCAAACCTATAGGCCATATAGCATCTGGGAATGAAAGGCAATCAGATTCAGGAAAAGAGGGTAGGTTCACTTCCTGGGATCAAGAGCCCTTCACCAGCATCCAGGCACCTATCTTGAAGGGAATATATACTGTAGACTTTTATTTAGTTTGCAAGTAATGTATGTACCAACAATTTAGATGCTCAGGAAAGTTGCTTCTCCTCACATGTCTGGATTAGCAGTGGACAACCAAACTCTTTTATTCTTGCACAGCTCTCACAATACTCACAATGTGATGCTAACAAATTATAGAAGAATACAATTTTTAAACAATTTTAATATTTAAATGAGTAATATTAGTTAACTATAAAATAGTTGAATGTAAAGAAATAAATGAGCAAATTAATCACACAACTGGGAGGACAAAGGAGAATATGTCAGACATTGCTTCAAAGTGAACCATTTATTTTTGTTCTTACCTTTATTGTTTTGTCGTCGGATGCACTCACAATTCGCCTCGAATCGGCAGCTAGACACCGGATTACACCTAAAAAAAGTACTTTTGGTTAAAAATGTTTTGCAGTAATTTAAATCTTCTAAGTATAGTGCTACCACGAGTTTCGAACTGCTCCCAACTCGACCAATTATGTAGGTGTATTATTGTAAGTGTATTTTTGGGGGTTTAAGATGGACTAATCTAATTTACATTATTCCTTATGGGAACAAATTTGTTCGGTAATGGTACTTGAACAGCCTTCTGGAACGAAGAAAGTTCGAAACTATACTATTTTTCCATTTTGCTGTCAATTTTCAGATTTTGATATATATATTCCATTTTTAATTATATCTAATCTACCACATAAGTATAAACTATAGTGTATACAGTGGACCCCCGGTTAACGAACTTTTTTCATTCCAGTAGTATGTTCAGGTGCCAGTACTGACCGAATTTTTTCCCATAAGGAATATTGTGAAGTAGATTAGTCCATTTCAGACCCCCAAACATACACGTACAAACGCACTTACATAATTGGTCGCATTTGGAGGTGATCGTTAAGCGGGGGTCCACTGTAGTGGGAATTTTAAAAACATTCAATGTCAGTTTACAATGACCTGTCCTAATGAAGACTCATTTTTCTACTGTTGGTTAAAATTAAAAGCCCTTGTGAAAGGTAAAAGAACTACATATAATGAAAAAATAAATAAATAATAATAATAATCATAACAACATTCAGAGAGGATGGAGACGGATAGGATGACAAAGGGGATGTATAAATCTGAGATGGAAGGCAGGAGAGGTAGGGGTGTTCCCAGGAACATACAGAGGTGAATTTTAAGGGCTCAAGCATCCAGTAAGCTTGTGTGAGTGTTAGATAGGAGTGAATGAGACAAGTGGGTTTTAGTGGACTTGCTGTTGGAAAGACTGGCTAGTCAAACTCGAATCCTGCAGAATACGGTGACTGCACTCTGAAGGAGGGGTGGGGATGATGCAATTAGTGGGAAATCTAAATTATGATGTCTGCACACTTTTGGCAAGACAGAAGTTGAATGAACAATTGTGAATGCATTTATGACAGTAATCAGCAAAGTTAGCCTGTACATTGCATAAACACTAATGAACATTCCAAACCTGTATGGCCTTCACTGGACATCCAGTCAAGGACGCCCAAGCACTGGCCGGAGGAGAGACACCATAGGCGAATGGTGCAGTCAAGAGAACCAGAAATTATGGTAGTGTTGTCGTATGTTAGAGTGGTAACTGCATCTTCATGACCTACGAGTGTCTTCTGGCACAGGCCTGAATCTAGCTGCCAAACCTGTGAAAAATTAAATTTGATGCAAGAAATTAATACTTTTCTGACATTTTACAATAATGTGTTTGTTGTAAGGAGCAAAGGAACATGGGCCTAAAAAAAAAAAAAATCTGAGGTGTAACTGTACTACAAACATAGAGCCCAAGATTTGTTTCTGGTGTTTCCCAAGGAAGACAACTGCAACAGATGCCTTCTATTAACCACAGATAAAACAGCAGCCATCATAACACTGGCTCTTCAGAAAAGTGGTACAAATGTTGCCTTCATCACCTCCAATTATTATGCAAGACATTACTAGACCAAGATGACAGTAATGCAGGAGTGTATACCATCCCATGTGGGAGCTAAGACAAAAAAGTATATATAGGAGAAATCTCTGGTAGTCATAGCACCAGGATCCAGGAACATCAGAATATGTGTAGGACACGTAATACCAACAATGCATGTTGTTCACTGAGGCAAACAATTACACTTAATGTTATATTCTTTATGATAACTTGATGAAGCTCTACATAAATCAAAACTTTTGTCACAGAAAACTTAGATTGTTCTGCACTTGTCTTTTATTCATCACTGTGTAACAAGCCTTTGTATCCAATTCACAACTAACCCACAATCTACTTGTATATCTACTTACATATACATTTGTTGTCATATTCACAAGAATTATTCTTAGTCTGTGTACATATATATTTTATGTCTTCTTATACATAAAGAGTAAAAGGACAATAAGCCTTTTATGTATAAGTTAGGTATAAGCTTGCCTGAAATGCTCTGCATAACTAGGGGGTCTTTCATGTTCAACATTAAATGTCATCCATTTTTTTATCATGTATCATGTGGAAATTGAGAATATGAATATGAATTAATGTGATAAACAAAATAATCTTTTTCCTGTCCAGCAAAATTGTTTTTGCATCTTGAATCAGTGATGTAATGAAGATGTTTACTAAAGTTTGTTAGTCATTATGCACTTTCCAAACAAACCTAGATGTAATAATAAGACCACAGTAATGCAAAAATATTTAAGCACAATGGAGACACATTCATAATTCTTAGCTCCCTGCAAGTTTTCTATGCTTTAAAGTTCTTCAAGTTAAAAAAAAAAAAAGTTATATTTACAGAATACAAAAATTAGTTTGGGTAATGAGTTCCACACAAGTATGCCATTGCCTCTTGCCCAAAAATATTACACCCAAAAGATTTAGAGTAGCTTTACACAGTAAACTCCAAACTCTTCATATGTATGCAAATACTGCACTCATAAATAACCCGCACATAGAAGAGAGCTTATGACAACGTTTCAGTCTGACTTGGACCGAAACATCATCATAAAGAGGAGCTTACGACGGGTTATTTGTGTACTGTTCCAGTCACGGTATTGTGCCTTTTTTTGCTATTTACTGTACTCATAATTTTTTGCAAACAAACTGTAAACTCATTAACATCAAAAGAATAGAGTCCATAACTTCAATCGTGGGTGATAAAAAAGTTCAAAACAGAACATGGGGAAAGTCACACATTCCTAGATATCCAGCCATTTACTCTAATATTGATACAGTGATTGAGTTCTTACCTTAATGGTTTTATCAGCTGCACCAGAAATAATCTTATTGTCATCAAAGGCAACAGTAAGCACAGGAGCCTGGTGACCAGCGAGAGTGTTGAGACACTCTCCTGATGCCAATGCCCACACCTTGACCAAATGATCGTAGCTGCCACTTACCACATAGTCCCCATCAACCTTGAGGAAAATATTTAAGTGTAATACCTGTATAAAAAAAATTACCTTTATCCTAAAATAAATTCTATTCAGCTAAAAACTGACCACCTCGCACCAAGGTAGGGTGACCCAAACAATTATGAATGAAAAATTTGTTCTTCTTTTTACATTTAGTAATTTATAGATTAAAATGCCAGAAGCAAGGGGCTCCTGGCATTTTTGTTGCCTCTTACAACACACATGGCATATGAAGATTTTTTCTTTACTTCCCCATGGAGATCAGCTAAAATACAGTGGACCCCCGCATAACGATCACCTCCGAATGCGACCAATTATGTAAGTGTATTTATGTAAGTGCGTTTGTACGTGTATGTTTGGGGGTCTGAAATGGACTAATCTACTTCACAATATTCCTTATGGGAACAAATTCGGTCAGTACTGGCACCTGAACATACTTCTGGATTGAAAAAATATCGTTAACTGGGGATCCACTGTATATTGTTTAATTCTAATAATAAAAATAATGCATATTTACTGTAGTATACATGCTCTTTTTAGTGATAAGTGTAACTGGATCAATCATTTCTGAATTAATTTAAAATGATTCTACCTATTTAAATATTTTTCAATTATTTTTATAAATTTATCATTAATTTTACGAATGTTTTTATATACTGTACCATAAGACAGAAAGGACATGTAGAATGTTTGACAACAAAGAGAAGGTGACAGTAACTTATCATTAACAACAAAAGAATAAATCTTAAATTTAAATTTCCAGAAAGCCACAGCTATAAAACTTCTTTAACTGCACTTGCTTGATTATCCAAATGACAGACATTAATAAGAACCCAATAATCAGTTAGTTTTACGTTAGAAATATTCATTTCCTCAACTAATAATATAGTACTAGTGTTTCACAAAGACAAAGATGTATGACAAGACGGAATATTTCACACTAAAGAAAGTTTTTTCAATACAGTCTTATTTTGCCATAAGTGTCTTAATGCCTGTTATCTGTGCACCTTAAACCCAATGATACTAGTCAGTACTGAATAAGATTTTTGTTCATTTTTAAAGCAAATGTCATCTTTTCATATCTTAAAAAAGGAAGAAAAAAAATTCTTTATCCTTTTATTAAAACATCGATCATTTCCCATCAAGATAGGGTGGCCCGAAAAAGAAAAACTTTCACCATCATTCACACCATCACTGTCTTGCCAGAGATGCACTTACATTATAATTATAAAACTGCAACATTAACACCCCTCCTTCAGAGTGCAGACACTGTACCTCCCATCTCCAGGACTCAAGTTTGACCTGCCGGCAGTCCTGAATCCCTTCATAAAAGTTACCTTGCTCACACTCCAACAGCACGTCAAGCCCTAAAAACCCCTCCTCCAACCTTTTCTAGGCCGACCCCTATCCCACCTTCCCTCCACTCCAGATTTATACACTCTTGAAGTCAATCTATTTTGTTCCATCCTCTCTACATGTCTGAACCACCTCAACAACCCCTCTTCATCCCTCTGGATAATAATTTTGGTAATCCTGCACCTCCTCCTACTTTTCCAACTATGAATTCTTTGCATTATATTCACATCAAACACTGCCCTCAGACACAACATCTCCACTGCCTCTAGCCTTCTCCTTCTTGCAACATTCACCACCAATGCTTCACACCCATATAAGAGCATTGGTATAACTATACTCTCACACATTCCCCTCTTTGCTTCCATGGACAGAGTTCTTTGTCTCCACAGACTCCTCAGTGCACCACTCACCTTTTTTCTCTGGTCAATTCTATGATTAGCCTCATCTTTCATAGACCCATCTGCTGTCATGTCCACTCCCAAATATCTGAATACATTCACCTCCTCCATACTCTCTCCCTCCAATCTGATATCCAGTCTTTCATTACCTATTTTTTATCCTCATCACCTTACTCTTTACTATATTCACTTTTAATTTTCTTCTTTTATATACCCTACCAAACTCATCCACCAACCTCTTCAACTTCTCTTCAGAATCTCCCAAAAGCACAGCATCATTAGCAAAGAGCAACTGTGACAACTCCCAGTTGCCAACACCTGAGCATTCACTTCTCTTACAACCCCATTAATAAATAAATTGAACAACCATGGTAACATCACACATCCTTGTCTAAGGCCTACTTCAAATATGATACTTTTAATCTATATTGTGTTATTTTAAGAGCTGTCTTAAACCCACTGATTCTAGTCAGTACTGAACAAGATTTTTGGTCAATTTTGAAGGAACAAATGCAAATTGTTAACCCTTTCAGGGTCCGTCCCGTAGATCTACGACTTTACGGTGAGTGTCGAAACCGTAGATCTACGCCATGAGCTCAGCTCACTCTGATAAACTGTGAGTGGTACATTTGGGCCTAGATATGAGAGAATACATCTATGTGGTATGTGTGCACCACATAAAACAGATCCTGCAGCACACTGTGTATAATGAGAAAAAAAACTGAAATCATGATTTTTCGATTAAAACAGCGACTTTGCAGTGTTTTTTCGTATGTTTTTTATAGTTGTATTTGCGATTTCTTGGTCTCATTTGATAGAATGGAAGACATATTACAGAAATAGAGATGATTTTGATTGGTTTTAGCACTGGAAATGGCTTGAAACTGAGCTCAAAGTAGCGGAAATGTTAAATTTTTGCCGATATTCAAGAGTAAACAAACGACCTCACACATCTAATACACGTCAGCTGGTGGGTCTAATATACATTCACAAATATGGTGATGATATTTATACAATTATTACAGTATTGCATAACAGTAAATCTTCTATTTTTTGGTGTGAATAAAAATTCATTATGTGAATAAAAAATCAAAATGGAATTTATTTGTAAAGCCTCAAAATGTAACTAATGAACAGAGGAAATGTTAGTTTAGTTCCAGGAATACCTACATTGTTTATTCTGGAGCCTATTTTGAAATTGGAATATTTTGAACTTTGTGTTAAATTGGCCAAATTAACAATTTCCGATCACTTTATTTTGTAGTTGAAACAGTTGACTTGGCGATTTCTTGTGCTCAATCGATAGAATAGAAGTAATACTAGTGAAATAGCTAAGAATTTGGTTGATTGGAATAATGTAATTGGCCTAAAATGGGAGTCAAAGTCGGCAAAATCGCCGATTCATAAATATCGCTGACACATCAAAATTCACGAGAGCATAATTTCGTCAATTTTCCACCAAATTTCGTACTTTTTGTTTTATTACCTTCACAAAAAGATTCTCTACGATTTCATAAGAAAAAATAACAAATTTTTTTTTTGAAAATTCTTGGACACTGGTGCGTGACTTCAGATTTTGGCCTTGGACCCTGAAAGGGTTAATAGCTTACAAAACAGGCAACAGACCAAAAGATTGTCTAATATAGTGCTGCTTTTTTTTTTTTTTACACACGGATTGACAAGGATAAGGATCCCTAGCTTTATTGACAAGTTATTTACAGGTTAAGGATTCCTAACTTTATTGGCAAGCTAAGAGCTGTTACCTACATCAACTCATTTGAAAGCATTTTTATTGTTATGAGACATACAAGTAGGGAACAGAATGAAGTTGGAGTAATCTGTGAGCCAGCATTTTCATTTGATCAACTGACTTTATCTTGTTGACATCATTATGCTGTACGAATGTGTTCCATACTTGAGTCATCCTGGGTATATATGATCTCAGATGGAGTGATGTTCTGGAGAAGGGTACAGCCAGAGTGAAGTTGCTGCTTTCTGCCCGTCTTGTGGCATAGAAGCTTGTTTCACGCTGTCCTCGAAGTGGATCCAAGTGTGGTACTTTGACAATATTGGCCTTGTACATAACAGTAAGGCTGCCCACATCCCTCCTGTGTTGAAGGCTCTGCTGAAATGACAGATCTATCCAGGATTGGTCCAGGCGAGAGATGAGACATTTTGCTCTGTTCTCTACTCTGTCAAGCAGTCGCAGATGAGAGGGGGGGCAAGCAAACCAAGAAAGTGGAGCATACTCAAGGTGTGAGCGTACTTGTGCCTCATACAGAATCTTGCAAGCCCTACTGTCAAGCAGATGCGAGATACAGCGAAGTGCTGTAAGCCTCCTGGCTGCCTTGTTTGCAAGATTTACAACATGGTTCTTCATGGTGAGTTTGGAGTCAAATTTCACCCCAAGGATATCAACTTCTTCCCCAGGTGCCAACACCCTCCCATTCATCCTTACTACTGCACCGGCATTATCATCATGGTGCCTAGAGACCATCATCATTTGCGTTTTCTCAGGTGCAAATGTTACTTGCCATCTATTTCCCCAAGCTGATATAGCTCTTAGCTGGTGATCCTATGGGTTTAGCGCTTCCCCTTGATTATAATAATAATAATAATAATCTTAGCTGGTGATTGATGTAGCTTAGAGCAGCTGGCATTTCTTCTCTTGGATAAGTGAATGTCAGTGTACAGTTGTCTGCATATGCATGGGATTCTGGGATGAGATGAAGAAGGCCATTGAAGTAGGCATTACATAACAATGGTCCCAGCACGCTTCCTTGTGGAACACTTACCCCAATAGGATGTCTTGCTGATTCTGTTCCATTGAGAACTACCCTTAGAGATCTACCATGAAGGTAATCACTGAGGAGAGATAGCATAGAGCCTGCAATTCCCAGTGCTTGAAGTTTTGCTAAGAGGCCCTGGTGCCACACCCGGTCGAAAGCACCAGCAATGTCCAGTGCTACCACACAGCTGACTTTGGATTCATCCAGTGACTGGTGCCACTTAGTGGAGAGGTTTAACAACAGATCAGCAACAGAGTAACCTTTCCTGAAGCCATACTGATGGTCACAAAGTAGTGAGCGGTAGTCAAAAAAACTGTCATTTGTCTTGAGATTATTGTCTCAAGGATCTTACCAGTGATTGACAGGAGTGACACTGGTCTGTAGTTGCTGATTTCTGCTCTGCTCTTCTTTTTGTGAACAGGGACTACATTTGCCTCTGTCCACAGAGAGGGCCATTTACACTGTACTAGGCAGTGCTGAAAGATGCGAGTTAGAGGTCTGCTTTTAAACTATACTTCAATGTTTTAAAGGTTTTCTATTTAGTTACTGATTCTTAAAAAAAATTAGAACCTATTTAGTTACTGATTCTTAAAAATTAACAAAGAATGGACACCAATACCTACATGCACCCATAATTTATTCTTGTCTTACCTGAAGACAGCGAACAGTTGAAGAATGACCGATCATGGTGACTTTGCAGTTAATCGATGACCACTGACTGGTTTCTTCAACATCCCAAACCTGAAAATCATTAAGAGGAGAAATAAAATGTCCTTTATAAACTATTAAGTTTATACTATCAAACCAAAACACAAATGAAAACATACTGCCACTATAAATTAACAATTCTCTTTGTTATTAAAGATTTCCATGATCTTTTCCTTTCCCCAGGAGAGTAACTAGTGTTATCTTACAAGAGGTTCGGGGCCATGTTTTATCTTTCTATCTGTTAAGCAAATCATAAAAGTCAGAACTCAGCTAATTAAATACTTCTTACGAAGGGGAGACTACATCTTACAAAAATACCAAGCCCATACTAGTTGAGCCTAAACATCCAATATCCTTGCAATAGGATCTATGGTCAAGGAAGCAGAAATGCTACTATAGCATTTTCTATACAAACCCTGGAGCTGCAGCTCACTGAAGAGCAACGAACATCTCTTTGAAGCATTGGAGGGATATCACCTTCGACAGCACTGGGGCTGCCATAGAATCTAAGACATGAGGAGGGAAAAAAGGAACAGGGCAAGACCTATATTTATCCCAATCCATAGTATCCCTGCAAATACTTTTCACATCTTCATGTATGACAGATATACATAATTCACGGTGCCATATCATCCTTCACAGACTATGTAGCAGCAATCAAGGGCATAGAAATCCTTTAAGTGGGCACACATAAAAAATATTTAGGTCACAAAAACCATATGACTATCAATGAAGACCAATTTGGGCAGATATGCAGTGGAAAAATAAAGAAAAATTTACACCAAATACAAAATGCAATTAAATCATACAACAGAGAGGAAGAGAAGAAAAAACTTATCAGAAATTCTTACATATAAAAAGCACAAAGGAGTTATTATCACAATTATAAGAAAAGTGACAAGCTGGACAATGGGAATTTTCCAAAGATGCAAGAACACTGTAGTAAAGAAAAACTCTGTATACCTTTATTGTAGCATCAGCTGACCCACTAACAAGCCGATTTCCAGCCAAGTGAAGACAGCGAACCATGCCAGAGTGACCCACTAATGTCTGCACTGACCACCGAGAATTTGTCCGCATGTTCCATACCTAAGAAAAAATCATAATAATAAGACCCAAATGCAAAATAATGGTAAATACAGCCTCTCTTCACTGAGCGATGTCCTCATTTACCAACCGCTCAGACTTACAACCGGCTCTCCAGCCAGTATGCAAACCTAAGTAATGTGTATTTGAGCTGATTTCCTCTATTCTGTTTATTACAGTATACAATACACTACTGTACAAACATTTAAAAATATACTAAAAATGTTATAAATGGTGCAAAGGTGACATTAAAAAAATATCTAAAGATGGTAATGATACCAAATGTATGAAATCTGATGGAAAACTTAAAGAATTATGCTCTCGCGAAGTTAGCGGTCTCAGTGATATTTACACATCAGCGATTCTGCTCACTCTGAGCCCTATTTTCGGCCAATTCCAGAGTTCCAGTCGACCAAACTCATAGCTATTTCGCTAGAACTCCATTTGTTCTGTTGACTGAGTACAATAAACTGCTCATTTACTGATTTCAACTACCCAATAAAGTGAGCAGAAATTAGTAATTTGGCCAATTTCATACACAATTCCAGTAAGGCCAATTTCAAAATAGGAGCCAGAATAATGCAGACATTCCTAGCACTAAAATAACATTTTCTCTGTTCATTAGTCACATCTCCAGGCCCCTCTTATATTACGCTTGCTTCCCATTTTGAATTTTTATTCACACAAAAAATTGAAGATTTACCGTTATGCAGACTACTGCATTATTGTATAAATGGTATAAATAATACCAGTGCATTTGTGAAAGAATATTAGACTCACCAGATGATGTGTATTGGACGCATGACATGATTTGTTTACTCTTGAACATCGGCAAAACTTGAACATTTCTGCTAATTTGAGCTCAATTTCTAGGTACTTTTAGTGGAAAAACCATTCAAAATCATCTCAATTCCTGTAATATATCTTCCATTCTATCAAATGAGTCCAAGGAAACGAGAATACGACTATAAATAACGTACAAAAATACACCGAAAAGTCAGTGTTTTAAACCAATAACACGGTGGGAGTTTTTTTTTCTTGTTATACACTGCGTGCTTCAGGATTTTTTTTATACTGCTCACACTGACCACTCAGACCCATTCTCTATTATGTAGGTCTACCAGCTTTCTCCCGCTAGATTTGAAGCTGCTAGAATTTTGGCGTAGTACTACGGCACCAACACTGGCTTGTAAGCCGTAGTACTACAGTACCAACAGTGAAAGGGTTAATGACTAATTTGCTTACCGACCTACTCTTAGGAATGGAACCCCGTCATTAAATGAGGAAAGGCTGTATATTAATGAATTCCTGCATATTTTGCTAAAAGCACCAATTAAAAGTAAGAGTAGTCAATACATTAATCCAGGAATAATACGTAATGTAATATACATAGCACAAAGACTTTCACTATTACCTTTATGGTGTTATCATGAGAACCAGAAACTATTCGATGATCATCAAACTGCACACAAGAAACACCTAATGTGTGACCTTCAAATGTTCGTACATGGCAGTGAGCTCCCATCCAATTACGATGGAGACGATAGCGCTCCACAAACACCTTTTAATAAAAAAAAAAGTAGATTAAAAGATACATTGATATATTGCCCACTTTTAAAAGGAAGCTTCCTAATGTCTAAATTCCTTAATGAAGAATTCTCAAGTTATTGCACTCTCTAGAAAGGTGTAGAATTAGGGGGGATATGACTGAGGTGTATAAATGGAAAACAGGAATTAATAAAGGGGATGTAAATAGCATGCTAAAAATATCTAACATAGCCAGGACTCACAGCAATGGTTTTAAATTGGAAAAATTCAGATTCAGGAAGGATATAGGAAAGCACTGGTTTGGTAATGGAATTGTGGACAAGTGGAACAAACTCCCGAGTACCGTCATAGAAGCTAAGACGTTGTGTAGTTTTAAAAAACAGGTTGGATAAATACATGAGTGGGTGTGAGTTGGACCTGACTAGCTTGTGCTACTAGATCAGATGCCATGCTTCTCCCTTAAGTGATGTGACTGACCTGACTAGGTCAACGCATTGGCTTAAGCCGGTGGGAGAATTGGACCTGCCTTACATAGGCCAGTAGGCCTGTTGCAGTGTTCCTTCTTTCTTATGTTCTCAATTACAATATTGAAAAAGTAGTCACTACTTTGATGTTCACATAGTTAAGTTACTTAGCTGTTTTAACTTCTAAGATTTAAATAATAAGACATCACAAGGACTCCAGTGGAAATAAGTCACTGACTTTTTGGGTTATCCTAGGTAATTTACACTATGTATAATAATTGTACATATGTGTACCTGTCAAGGGGCTGGTAACCTCTTCTCCTGTATATATTACTAAATGTAAAAGGAGAAACTTTCGTTTTTTCTTTTGGGCCACCCTGCCTCGGTGGGATACGGCCAGTGTGTTGAAAGAAATAAAGATGTGTACCTGTCCCTAAACTTACTTTAAAAACATGGCAAAACTATCAGATGCCCCCTTAATGGTGACACAAAATAATAACAAGCAATTTATTACTACATATTTTTTTAGTTTAGAAAGCTTACAATTGTTTATAAATTTTTATGAATTTAAAGTTCTTATCATTTCAATGCATTCACAGTCACCCTAAAATTACAAAACAAAAGCTGAGATAGAATACCTGCTTCCAGTCTACAGTACCATCCTTGCGTAGGCAACATGTTAACTGTTTTTCGTGTGAAGAAAGTGAAAGTTGCCATTCACGATGAAAGGAAAGATTCCGCCACAAGCAGTCACGTGAGGCCAAATTATACCAGACTCTGAAAATAAAACACTTTAGTGTCACAGCAGCATCTTCAGCAAAGGTAGCAAAACTAGTTATACTGTACTACCTCAATTATGACAACAGAGGTAGTACAGTATATCACTAAACAATATACAGTGGACCCCCGCATAACGATTACCTCCGAATGCGACCAGTTATGTAAGTGTATTTATGTAAGTGCGTTTGTATGTGTATGTTTGGGGGTCTGAAATGGACTAATCTACTTCACAATATTCCTTATGGGAATAAATTCGGTCAGTACTGGCACCTGAACATACTTATGGAGTGAAAAAATATCGTTAACCGGGGGTTCACTGTATTTTACATTAATATGATCTGAACCTATAAAAAACCACAGAATAAAATTTTTAAGAATAAAGATGTAAACAAATCCTTACTTGCACACTTGTGATGCTTGAGCCAAGGAAACTGGGTCAAGATAGGAGAAAATGGTGAGAGCAAGACCAGGAGGAAGCCAACCAATAGGGTCTTGACAGTTGGGCGGACATCCATGGTGCAGCCGACCTCCAATGGCAACCGAGAGGAGATGCAGCTGGCTTGGACCAATATGTTCCTGAAAGTTTATTCTCACTATATAAAAGATGAATAATACTTGCACATTTATATGTATTTTATAGTATTAACATTACTATTTCTAGAGATGGGACCAGTATTCAGCCCTCTGGCTCCAGGTGTGTGTTATTTTTTACAACTGTCAAATCTGTCAATGAACAATTTTGTGCTGCATTTTTATACATAGTCTCATTTACAAGAGATAATTTATTTCACACTCACTGAAGATGTCAGCTCACCATAGAAAAAAAAATCACAGTTAGTGAGGATCAAGAAAACAGGACTCTACTTGTACAGGTTTTTTTTTATATAATTATTAATTATTATTTACATAGGGGGCACTAAACCCATAAGGCTCATAAAGTGCTTTGAGGAATGAGAGGAATTCAGATTCAGTTAAAGGAAAAGGAGCACAATTTCAATTCTTTAGAAGAAGTATCACTCACTAACATCAAGGAACCTCCCTTGAGAAATGTTTTCCTCCGAACCTTGTTGATATATATCTGTAACCTAAACTGCTGCAAATAAATCTAATAAAGCCATACCTGTACAATGTAGAGGTATTAGAATGTTTAATATGTATTTATCATGTTCAGTCTTTGTTAACAAGCAACTGGTGCTTATGTGATATTTCCCTAAAAAATTTGGTTTTTGATATTAAAACATGACAGTGGGTTATACTTTATGTAATCTTACTCAGCAACATTTTTTTGGAACACATTTCTCACTAAGTAGGGTATTACTGCAAGTTTTCTCAAATAAAAATATATATTAGTCAAGCTACTGTATGCATTAGTTAACACTACTAACTTCTTCAGCAATTATTCACAAATAACCAGCTTACAAGTAGTTCTGCTAAAACCCGATTCTTCTGCTCGTCTGTGAAACTGTTGAACCACTGTCGCATAAGCGTGAACTGTTGCTTAAATTCTGATGGGGAGATAGGTGGTATGGAGGGACTATTTGAGCAATCTCTTCCCAGTGACCGCCACCCACCCATGAGGTGGGTCTTGTAGCGGTGAGGAAGACTGTATGATTTTCGGGGCAATTCATCCCAGCAACCCATTGCACTGAAAATACAAAGTGATATTTTTATCTATTAATAAATGAATATTTTATATAATTGTACTTGTACAATGAAGTATAATGCCTGCACTTTAAAGGATGGGTTTAGGATATTGGCAGCTTGGAGGGATGTCTAAACTGTTGTATCTGAGCGCTTCTACAAAGACAGTGATTATGTATAAGTGATGGTAAAAGTGTAGAATGATGATGAAAGTTTTTTCTTTCTTTTCGTTTTTTTTTTTTTTTTTTTTTTTTTTTTTTGGGGTCATCCTGCCTTGGTGTGAAATGGCCGGTGTTAAAAAAAAAAAATTATATATAATAAACAGATATCATTTTCCATGGGGAAGTGGAGAAGAATCCTTCCTCTGTAAGTCGTGCATACCCTAAGAGGCAACTACAAGGCTGGGAGTAAGGGGCTAGTGACCCCTTCTGTATAAATTACTAAAGAACAAAAATGCACAGTACTATGATTGGAACAATACACAAATAACCTGTACATAGGAGAGAGGAGCTTATAATAACGTTTCACTCCAAGTTGGACCATTTACAGTGCGACTTTGTAAATGGTCCAATCTGGGATGAAACATCATTGTAAGCTCCTCTCTCCTATGTTTACCTGAGAGGGTTTCGGGGGTCAACGCCCCACGGCTCAGTCTGAGACGAGGCCTCAAGGTGGATCAGGGTCTGATGAACCAGGCTATTACTACTGACTGCATGCAAACTGACATATGAACCACAGCTCAGTTGGTCAGGTACTGACTTTAGGTGCCTGTCTAGTGCCTTCTTGAAGACAGCCAGGGGTCTATTGGCAATCCCTCTTATGTATACTGGGAGGCAGTTGAACAGTCTTGGGCCCCAGACACTTATTGTGTCGTTTCTCAATGTACTCATGGCACCCCTGCTTTTCATCGAGGGAATGTTGCATCTCCTGCCGAGTTTTTTGCTTTCACAGGGAGTGATTTTTGTGTGCAGGTTTGGTACCAATCCCTCCAGAACCTTCCAAGTGTATATTATCATGTATCTCTCTCACTTGCATTCCAGGGAATACAGATCAAGGGCCTTCAACCATTCCCAGTAATTTAGGTGCCTTATCATACTTATGTGTTCTGTGAAAGTTCTTTGTATGCTCTCCAGGTCTGCAATGTCGCCAGCCTTGAAGGGGGCTGTTAGTGTACAGCAGTATTCCAGCCTAGAAAGAACAAGCGATTTGAAGAGTATCATCATGGGCTTGGTGTCCCTAGTTTTGAAGGTTCTCATTATCCATCCTATCATTTTTCCTAGCCGATGAGGTAGATACATTGTTATAGTCTTCGAAGGCGAGATCCTCTGGCTTTATCACTCCCAGGTCCTTCACATTTCTTTTTTGCTCTATTGTATGGTTAGAATTTGTCATATACCCTGATACATTTTTAATTTCCTCAAGTTTTCCATATCTGAGTACGTAGTTGAAATTTCTCCTCGTTGAACTTCATACTGTTTTGAGTGACATATTTGAAGATTTGGTTGATGTCTGCTTGGAGTCTTCCAGTGTCTTCGATGGAGGTCACTGCCATGGCAATCCGGGTGTCATCCACAAAGGAAGACATGGAGCTATGGCTTACATCTCTATGTCAGAAATGAGGAAGAGGAATAGAATGGGAGCGAGTAGTGTGCCTTGTGAAACAGAGCTTTTCACCATGGCTGCCTGGGACTTTACATACTCTGTTTACTATTACCCTTTGTGTTCTATTTGTCTGGAAGTTATAGATCCATCTACCAACTTTTCCTGTTATTCCTTTATCATGCATTTTGTGTGCTATTACACCATGGTCACACTTGTTGAAAGCTTTTTTCAAAGTCTGTGTATACTACATTTGTATTTTGTTTATCTTTAACAGCATCCAGGACCTTGTCATAGTGGTCCAGGAGCTGGGACAGGCAGGAGCGACCTGCTCTAAGCCCATGTTGCCTTGGGCTGTGTAACTGATGGGTATCAATTCTTAGAACCCCTCTTAGAGAGGGTTCTAAGAAGCAAGATCACCAACCACCTAGATACCCATTTGTGTAAATTACTAAATGTCAAAAGACAAAACTTTAATTTCTTCTTTCCTGGGTCACCTTGCCTTGATGGGAGACAGCCAGTGTGTTAAAAAAAAAAAATATCAGTACATGGCCAGTCTAAGTAATTTTTATTTATCCAGTGGACTACAGAATATAGCACTGCACTTGCATTCTATAGTTTGAAATGGATTAAAATTTAGGATGCTTTATTTCAAAGTCACAAAATGTGAGGGATGAAGAAAAATAGAAGCACTAGAGACAAGATCCTTAAATGAAGCTAAAGGCATGCAAGTTCATATAAAACAGACGGTAAAAAAAGCCTTCAAAAGCATAAGCAAATTGTCTTTAACAGGAAATACTGAGTAAATTAAAATAGCTCAATGTATAAAATCATGAAAATAAAATTGTACATGATAATGATGTCAAAGTTCAGAGATATCCTTTGTGCTATACAGTATGTATGGCTCCTCAAGCTGTCATGACCTTTAAATATAAGAATATTCTTGTTACACACAAAGAGAGTTAAAAATTAGAGTATTCCTATTTTCCTGATATGTTTTGACCACCTTATTAAAATAACCTGTGTAGAATAGTTATCTCGATGAATCATTAGCACAATGAAATAGTATACAAGAAAATGGAGAAAGGACAAATACAATACAGGATTTATAAAGCATATAAAAGTGTGCATGCTAAATTTTGTCTACTGGGTCATAGGAATGAACCATTCCACCCCACCACACCAATGTCGCTGCCTTAGAACATCCCTGGTGACAACTCTTGTTGTTTATGAGTGGCATACAATACCAACAAGATGAAGAATTAGACGGATGTTCAACATCTGGGTATCTTTACTTTGTAGATGTTTCACCATCCAGTGGCTTTATCAATACAATACAATATTGATAAAACTACTGGTGAAAAATCTACTACTCTAGAGTGAAGACACCCAGATCTTGCACGTATGTCTAATCCTTTACAATTCTTGTTGTTGGTTCCACCCACACTGGACCACTATTTGGCATGACAACCCTGATGCTGGGTGAACATTCTCATACTTTCCATATATTCCTGATTCTCATGTAGCAAAATGGCAACTGCTTCACATATTTAATACACAGCAAAACCTGTAGAATTCTTTGCAAATATTTCAAACAGGAGTGTGCCAAGGTATGGTATCAGTGGATGTCAGTTAATTTCAATGGTACTGTTTTTTTTTTTTGGTATCATCCCATCCCAAATTAAAAGCTCTTTCAATTTTTTTTAATAATTAAGGGCAGGTGAAACATCTCGGAAATATTCTGCATCACCTCTACGAAGGAGAGCTCCTCAAGAAAACAGGTACAGTGGTACCCCGAGTTTCAGCCATAATTTGTTCCAGAAGGCTGTTCGAGTGCTATTACTGAACGAATTTGTTCCCATAAGGAATAATGTAAATTAGAGTAGTCCATTTCAGACCCCAAAAATACACCTACAAAAGCACTTACAATCATACACTTACATAATTGTTCGAGTTGGGAGCTGTATGAAACTCGGGGTACAACTGTATTAAAAATATAGAATATGACTATTGAACAACTCATAATTCGCAGGGAATTATTCCGCATAAACTAACTTTTAACTTACCCTGCATGGTTTCTATTGATAGCAGTCTCCTTATTGAGATTTCTGTCATAGGTGCCATTAACAATAGCTTCATTGACAGTCTCGGGGAGAAATGAAGCAAGGGACAAGTCTGAGACCGACAGACTACGGGCATGACTCCCACTTCTTGCCAGCTGATGATTGCTCAGACTAAAAGAAACAATATGAAAAACTTACAAATAAAAAATTGATTAAATTCCATAAGAGCTATATCTTTCTTTCTTTCAACACACCGGCTGTATCCCACCAAGGCGGGGTGGCCCAAAAGGAAAAATGAAAGTTTCTCCTTTTACATTTAGTAATATATACAGGAGAAGGGGTTACTAGTCCCTTGCTCCCAGCATTTTATTCGCCTCTTACGACACGCATGGCTTACGGAGGAAGAATTCTGTTCCACTTCCCCATGGAGAATTATTATTATTATAATGTAAACAGTGCTTTGGGAATGGGAAGTAATTAGACCTGATTTGAAGAATGGAATAGTAGATCCATCAAGGAACCTTCCTTCAAAATGGGGGAGAATGGGGAAAGAGGCATAGGTTTACTACATACAAGTAATAATGAAATGCAGAATTAAATAAATAAAATAAGATTTAACTGCACTCTCAATAATGAGAAAAGATTTGTCACCTGAAGTCTGGTGAGAGGTCCATGAGGGACACGGGGATGTAGACACAGCATCACTAGAGTGCAGGAAGGTGCTGGTATGACAGGAGATGCACTCTCCCACTCTCATCCACACCCATCATCAACTCCTGAAAATTATGAAAAGCTCATTACATTTTATGAATTATTTATCATAGGAAGGCTCACATGGATAAGATATGATTTGTTTGGATTTTTAACCCAGAGGGTTAGCCACCCAGGATAACCCTCAAACGTCAGTGTATCATTGAGGCCATCTGTCTTATTGCCACTGGGGCCCTTCAATCTTGCCTGCCAGGATGCGACCCACATCAGTCGACTGACACCCAGGTACCTACTTACTGCTAAGCGAACAGGGACAGCAAGTGTAAGGTAACATGCTCAATGTTTCCACCCATAAATAACATGCCGGGGATTGAACCACGGACACTCATGCGTGTATGAGGTAAGAGTGCTTAACCTGTAGGGGTCATAACAGTGCCTGAGGGAATGGGAGACACTCAGGTTCAATCTAAGGGGAGGTGAGATCCAATGCCTTTAATCAAGATCCTCTCACCTGCATCAGAAAACCTTCCATGCAGAGTAAGGGTCAAACAGATTCCATCCCAAAAAATGTGGGGCAGCCCCAATTCCTTGGATCAGAGCCCTTTACCAGCATCAAGGCACCTTTCTTGAAGGAGCATTTCATGAAGACGAATTACACAGTTTACAAAATACAGTTTTGATTAATATTAATATTAATATTTCAAAGCTTTCATATATGTTTTGTGTTTTATACATTTTAGTAGGTCTGTACCTGATCTAACTTGTGTGAGCTGAACCTGCCTAGCATGGGCCATAGGCCTACTACAATGCTTCCCCATTTATTAAGTTAGGAAATTTGTTCAGATATAACTGCATAATCTTTGGAAGGTTACACTTGTGTTACATGTAAATTAACCATGATAAACCCTCCAAAAAAAGCCAATCACTGTGACTTATTTCCATTGGAATCCTTACTAGAGGCGACATTCATAGGGGAAGCACTAAACCCACAGGGGTCATACAGTGCCTAGGGAGCGAGATAGTCTTAATTCGATCCAAGACAAGATAGGGCAGCTCCAATTCCTTGGATCAAGAGCATCCACCATCAAACTACCCAAATGACGGAAATAATTACATATTGCCTAGTCATTATAAATACATAAAAAAAAGTGACATTTCATGACGAACTACATTTAAGAAAAGACTGGCACAAAGATTTAATTAAAAGTTTATATAAACGTCTTCAAAATAACCTTCTTCTTATTAAAGCAAGTCAAGAACATGAATAGTGAACCCGGAAGGAATTTTTTTCCATTAGAAATAAGTCTAGAGGAATTTTTCTCCAACTTTCAGCGTGGAGGTAAAAAGGTTGCCACAACACTTGTTTCACGACTCAGCTATTATATAAGCCCGGTGGTACTGTACCCCTGGAGCAGTACACGAGCCTGAGTGCCAGTTGAGTGCATAAGAGTGCCAGGTGGGTACGTACAGTGCCAAGGGTGACCCCAGAGGGACGAGTGTCATTGCTCCCTCCACTAGTATGATTCTCCACACGTTTGTTTACCTCTGACGTCAACGCCCTCACACCCTGGCGGACACTACACTTACTATAACACCCGCCAAAACTTGAATTTAGCGAGTGCTCGCCTATTTGTACTCACCTATTTGTGACTGCAGGGGTCGATTCATAGCTCCTGGGGCCGCCTCTTCACTGGTTGCTACTAGGTCCACTCTCTCCCTGATCCATGAGCTTTATCATACCTTTTCTTAAAGCTATGCATGGATCCTACCTCCACTACTTCACTCTAGATTGTTCCACTTCCTGACAACTCTATGACTGAAGAAATATTTCCTAACATCCCGGTGACTAATCTGAGTTTTCATCTTCCGGTTGTGATCCCTTGCTGTTGCTGTGTCCTCTCTCTGAAACATTCTGTCTGTGAGTGAGAAAGTTTAATTAGGCATACGCACACATAAGTACAATTATCATGCAGTGTAAATCACCTAGGAAAACCCAGAAAAGGCAGACGAACGTTAAGTATACAAGAAAGCACTCTACTTCTTTCTGTAGCTTCATTCATTATGTGCCTTTTAGCACTCTTCCTGAACTGGCTCATGCTATGACAGGCTGTGACACATGCAGGCAATGTTCCACTCCTTTATTGTTTTACAATGAAAGGTGTTTGAAGCCTGACCACCTATTGTAGGTGCTACAAAATTGTGTTTACTTCCACTAGTACCATACTGGTTTTGGTTCCTAACCTTGACAAACTTGGCAGAGATATTCCGGACACTACTCGTGAGCAATTACATAAAGGTGATTTATCTGCAGTTGCTTTACTCTATCTTCAACATTCAGCATATCCAGTACGTAGTTGTAATTCATCCTGGCTTACATGCTCTGTTGGACACAGGTCCAGGATGAATTTCACCATTTTGTTCTGGGTGATTTGTAGACTGTCTTGCATTTTATTTTTTATTTTTTTGTTAAAGCAGAGTACAAAGTAGAAGAGTAATCTATATGGCACTGCATAAGAGCTAGACATAAGGGCCTGCGAGCCTCATTAGATAGACTTCAGTCTGGCATTCGCTTTTTTTTACTACATTGTTGCCTATCAATTCTCCTCACTCATTCGATTTGGCTAAGTCTTTCCTCTCACAAGACAGGAATCAGGAGACCCTTTGAGCTACCTGATTATCTCCAAAACCTCATTCTCACACCTCACTTTTTGCCGATATACGTATACAGTTATTCTCCATCCGTTTGTTAGAAGTTCTAGGAGTTTCAGGACCGAAACGTTTTCTATTGAATATGTCCTGGTGTTTGCTAACCCTATGTTAATGGGTTCCGCTTCCTTGCCCGGGTTGAGACACTTGCAAAACAGAAAGCATAACAAATGGGAGGTAAGAATCAGAGTGCATAACAAATGGGAGGTAATCAGATCCAAAGGAGGGAGGATAGCTCCCATTCTTTGGATCAAGAGCCCTTCGCCAGCATCAATGGATTCCTCTTTGAAGGCTACCATGGCCGGACACCGAAAGTAACATTGAAATAATACCAGATAACATACAGCATATTCAGGCTTACCATATCAACTTTCTGTTGATTTTTTGTTGGATAAAAAAATTTCATATGTTCAAATGTATATTATTTATTGTCCGATTAGAAATAAACAATTTCTAGTAGACGGATAAATGGTGAACAAGCAAGAAAATAAAATGGATACAAAAGGGTCGTAGAGTCTACAACAGAGGAGAAAAACTAGATACATAGGGAGCGTAGAGATACAGGAAGGGGCAGTAATTCTATAATGAGTATGAAAATCAACTAAATACAGAAAGAAGTCCACAATAGGTGAGAAAAAATAGGCACAAAATGGGCGTAGTGTCCACGAGAAGCTTTAGTCTGAGAGGGAGCAGAGGAGGGCGACGCCTCTCAGTATCCAGTGGTCCTCATGCAGGTGGGTGGGAATGTTGACTGAGAAGACATAGTTGGTACAGTGGCCGGTGGTGGTGAGGTTGCCCCGGCGTTCACTGGTCTTGTACACCGGGCATGAGTATGTCTGTTCCTTCGGGATTTCCTCCCGCACCTTCGGTTGCAGCCAAATCTGTCGTGGGAGGTAAAAGGGATGGGATGTACTGGGATCAGTGGTTTCTTCAAGTAAGTCTGGAAGGCGCAAGATATGTGTGTGTTTTTTTTTTTTTGTTTGAGACGATATGTTTGAGGGATATGTTGTGTATCTTTATACGTATATGCTTCTAAAATGTTGTATTCTGAGCACCTCTGCAAAAACAGTGATTATGTGTGAGTGAGGTGAAAGTGTTGAATGATGATGAAAGTATTTTCTTTTTGGGGATTTTCTTTCTTTTTGGGTCACCCTGCCTCGGTGGGAGACGGCCGACTTGTTAAAAAAAAGTTGTAGATCAAGTGTTCACTTTGAAGCATATATGTGAACAGTATTTAGATGAAGGTAGAGAAGTTTTTATTGCATTTATGGATTTAGAAAAGGCATATGATAGAGTGGATAGGGGAGCAATGTGGCAGATGTTACAAGTATATAGAATAGGTGGTAAGTTACTAAATGCTGTAAAGAGTTTTTATGAGGACAGTGAGGCTCAGGTTAAGGTGTGTAGAAGAGAGGGAGACTACTTCCCAGTGAAAGTAGGTCTTAGACAGGGATGTGTAATGTCACCATGGTTGTTTAATATATTTATAGATGGGGTTGTAAAAGAAGTAAATGCTAGGGTGTTAGGGAAAGGGGTGGGATTAAATTATGGGGAATCAAATACAAAACAGGAATTGACACAGTACTTTTTGCTGATGATACTGTGCTTATGAAAGATATTAAAGAAAAATTGCAAAGGTTAGTAGACGAGTTTGGGAGTGTGTGTAAAGGTAGAAAGTTGAAAGTGAACATAGAAAAGAGTAAGGTGATGAGGGTACCAAATGATTTAGATAAAGAAAAATTGGATATCAAATTGGGGAGGAGGAGTATGGAAGAAGTGAATGTTTTCAGATATTTGGGAGTTGACGTGTCAGCGGATGGATTTATGAAGGATGAGGTTAATCATAGAATTGATGAAGGAAAAAAGGTGAGTGGTGCATTGAGGTATATGTGGAGACAAAAAATGTGTTATCTATGGAGGCAAAGACGGGAATGTATGAAAGTATAGTAGTACTAACACTCTTATATGGGTGTGAAGTTTGGGTTGTAAATGCTGCAGCGTGGAGGAGGTTGGAGGCAGTGGAGATGTCCTGTCTAAGGGCAATGTGTAGTGTGAATATTATGCAGAAAATTCGGAGTGTGGAAATTAGGAGGTGGTTTTTTTTTTTCAACAGGTCGGCCGTCTCCCACCGAGGCAGGGTGACCCAAAAAAGAAAGAAAATCCCCAAAAAGAAAATACTTTCATCATTCAACACTTTCACCACACTCACACATTATCACTGTTTTTGCAGAGGTGCTCAGAATACAACAGTTTAGAAGCATATACATATAAAGATACACAACATATCCCTCCAAACTGCCAATATCCCAAACCCCTCCTTTAAAGTGCAGGCATTGTACTTCCCATTTCCAGGACTCAAGTCCGACTATATGAAAATAACCGGTTTCCCTGAATCCCTTCACTAAATATTACCCTGCTCACACTCCAACAGATCGTCAGGTCCCAAGTACCATTCGTCTCCATTCACTCCTATCTAACACGCTCACACACGCTTGCTGGAAGTCCAAGCCCCTTGCCCACAAAACCTCCTTTACCCCCTCTCTCCAACCCTTTCGAGGAAGACCCCTACCCCTCTTTCCTTCCCGTATAGATTTATATGCTTTCCATGTCATTCTACTTTGATCCATTCTCTCTAAATGACCAAACCACCTCAACAACCCCTCTTCTGCCCTCTGACTAATACTTTTATTAACTCCACATCTTTTCCTAATTTCCACACTCCGAATTTTCTGCATAATATTTGCACCACACATTGCCCTTAAACAGGACATCTCCACTGCCTCCAACCGTCTCCTTGCTGCTGCATTTACCACCCAAGCTTCACACCCATATAAGAGTGTTGGTACTACTATACTTTCATACATTCGCTTCTTTGCCTCCATAGATAACGTTTTTTGACTCCACATATACCTCAACCTTTTTTCCCTCATCAATTCTATGATTAACTTCATCCTTCATAAATCCATCCGCCGACACGTCAACTCCCAAGTATCTGAAAACATTCACTTCTTCCATACTTCTCCTCCCCAATTTGATATCCAATTTTTCTTTATCTAAATCATTTGATGCCCTCATCACCTTACTCTTTTCTATGTTCACTTTCAATTTTCTACCTTTACACACATTCCCAAACTCATCCACTAACCTTTGCAATTTTTCTTTAGAATCTCCCATAAACACAGTATCATCAGCAGAAAGTAACTGTGTCAATTCCCATTTTGAATTTGATTCCCCAAAATTTAATCCCACCCCTCTCCCGAACACCCTAGCATTTACTTCCTTTACAACCCCATCTATAATATATTAAACAACCATGGTGACATTACACATCCCTGTCTAAGACCTACTTTTACCGGAAAGTAGTCTCCCTCTCTTCTACACACCCTAACCTGAGCCTCACTATCCTCATAAAAACTCTTTACAGCATTTAATAACTTACCACCTATTCCATATACTTGCAACATCTGCCACATTGCTCCTCTATCCACTCTATCATATGCCTTTTCTAAATCCATAAATGCAATAAAAACTTCCCTACCTTTATCTAAATACTGTTCACATACATGCTCCAATGTAAACACTTGATCTACATATCCCCTACCCACTCTGAAACCTCCTTGCTCATCTGCAATCCTACATTCTGTCTTACCTCTAATTCCTGGTATACTCAGTAAACTTATTCCTCTATAATTTTTAGTTTCTTTTGTCCCCTTTCCCTTTATATAAAGGGACTATACATGCTCTCCGCCAATCCCTAGGTACCTTCCCCTCTTTCATACATTTATTAAACAAAAGTACCAACCACTCCAACACTATATCCCCCCCTGCTTTTAACATTTCTGTCATGATCCCATCAGTTCCAGCTGCTTTATCCCCTTTCATTCTACGTAATGCCTCACGTTAATAAAAGTATTAATAAGAGGGCTGAAGAGGGGTTGTTGAGGTGGTTTGGTCATTTAGAGAGAATGGATCGAAGTAGAATGACAAGGAGAGCGTATAAATCGGTAGGGGAAGGCGGAGTAGGGGTCGTCCTCGAAAAGGTTAGAGGGGTGGGGGTAAAGGAGGTTTTGTGGGCGAAGGGCTTGGACTTCCATCAAGCGTGTGTGAGCATGTTAGATAGGAGTGAATGGAGACGAATGGTATTTGGGATCTGACGAGCTGTTGGAGTGTGAGCAGGGTAATATTTAGTGAAGGGACTCAGGGAAACCGGTTATTTTTATATAGCCGGACTTGAGTCCTGGAAATGGGAAGTACAATGCCTGCATTTTAAAGGAGGGGCTTGGGATATTGGCAGTTTTGGAAGGAGATGTTGTGTATTTTTATACGTATATGCTTCTCAACTGTTGTATTCTGAGCGCCTCTGCAAAAACAGTGATTATGTGTGAGGTGAAAGTGTTGAATGATGATGAAAGTATTTTCTTTCTTTTTTTGGGTCACCCTGCCTCGGTGGGAGACGGCCGATTTGCTACTTCTACTTACACTTAGGTCACACTACACATACATGTACACATTTATTTATACACACTCATCTGAGTTTTCTTTGATTTTATCTTAATAGTTCTTGGTCTTATTAATTTTCCTTTTATATCCATGGGGAAGTGGAATAAGAATCTTTCCTCCGTAAGCCATGCGTGTTGTAAAAGTCAACTAAAATGCCGGGAACAATGGGCTAGTAACCCCTTTTCCTGTAAAGATTACTAAAAAGAATAAGAAGAAGAAAATTGTCAAAGTGGGAAGTCTGAATGTGCGTGGATGTTGTGCAGATGATAAGAAAGAGATGATTGTGGATGTTATGAATGAGAAGAAGCTGGATGTCCTGGCTTTAAGTGAAACAAAGCTGAAGGGGGTGGGAGAGTTTCAGTGGAGAGGAATAAATGGGATTAGGTCAGGGGTTTCAAATAGAGTTAGAGCTAAAGAAGGAGTAGCAATAATGTTGAAGGATAAGCTATGGCAGGAAAAGAGGGACTATAATGTATTAATTCAAGGATTATGTGGAGTAAAAATAAAGATTGGATGTGAAAAGTGGGTTATAATAAGCGTGTATGCACCTGGAGAAGAGAGAAGTGTAGAGGAGAGAGAGAGATTTGGGAATGTTGAGTGAATGCGTGGGGAGTTTTGAATCAAGTGTGAGATAATGGTGGTTGGGGATTTTTAATGCTAAAGTGGGTAAAAATGTTATGGAGGGAGTAGTAGGTAAATTTGGGGTGCCAGGGGTAAATGTAAATGGGGAGCCTTTAATTGAGCTATGTGTAGAAAGAAATTTGGTAATAAGTAATACTATTTTATGAAAAAGAGGATAAATAAATATACAAGGTATGATGTAGCACGTAATGAAAGTAGTTTATTAGATTATGTATTGGTGGATAAAAGGTTGATGGGTAGGCTCCAGGATGTACATGTTTATAGAGGGGCAACTGATATATCGGATCATTATTTAGTTGTAGCTACAGTTAGAGTAAGAGGTAGATGGGAAAAGAGGAAGGTGCAACAACAAGTAAGAGGGAAGTGAAAGTGTTATAAACTAAGGGAGGAGGAAGTTCGGGTGAGATATAAGCGACTATTGGCAGAAAGGTGGGCTAGTGCAAAGATGAGTAGTGGGGGGGTTTTGAAGAGGGTTGGAATAGTTTTAAAAATGCAGTATTAGAATGTGGGGCAGAAGTTTGTGGTTATAGGAGGGTGGGGGCAGGAGGAAAGAGGAGTGATTGGTGGAATGATGAAGTAAAGGGTGTGATAAAGAGAAAAAGGTAGCTTATGAGAGGTTTTTACAAAGCAGAAGTGTTATAAGAAGAGCAGAGTATATGGAAGAGTAAAAGAAAGGTAAAGAGAGTGGTGAGAGAGTGCAAAAGGAGAGCAGATGATAGAGTGGGAGAGGCACTGTCAAGAAATTTTAATGAAAATAAGAAAAATTTTGGAGTGAGTTAAACAAGTTAAGAAAGCCTAGGGAAAATATGGATTTGTCAGTTAAAAACAGAGTAGGGGAGTTAGTAGATGGGGAGATGGAGGTATTGGGTAGATGGCGAGAATATTTTGAGGAACTTTTAAATGTTAAGGAAGAAAGGGAGGCAGTAATTTCATGCACTGGTCAGGGAGGTTATACCATCTTTTAGGAGTGAAGAAGAGCAGAATGTAAGTGTGGGGGAGGTACGTGAGGCATTACGTAAAATGAAAGGGGGTAAAGCAGCTGGAACTGATGGGATCATGACAGAAATGTTTAAAAGCAGGGGGGGATATAGTGTTGGAGTGGTTGGTACTTTTGTTTAATAAATGTATGAAAGAGGGGAAGGTACCTAGGGATTGGCAGAGGAGCATGTATAGTCCCTTTATATAAAGGGAAAGGGGACAAAGAGACTGTAAAAATTATAGAGGAATAAGCTTACTGAGTATACCAGGAAAAGTGTACGGTAGGGTTATAATTGAAAGAATTAGAGGTAAGACAGAATGTAGGATTGCGGATGAGCAAGGAGGTTTTAGAGTGGGTAGGGGATGTGTAGATCAGGTGTTTACATTGAAGCATATATGTGAACAGTATTTAGATAAAGATAGGGAAGTTTTTATTGCATTTATGGATTTAGAAAAGGCATATGATAGAGTGGATAGAGGAGCAATGTGGCAGATGTTGCAAGTATATGGAATAGGTGGTAAGTTATTAAATGCTGTAAAGAGTTTTTATGAGGATAGTGAGGCTCAGGTTAGGGTTGTGTAGAAGAGAGGGAGACCTACTTCCCGGTAAAAGTAGGTCTTAGACAGGGATGTGTAATGTCACCAGGGTTGTTTAATATATTTATAGATGGGGTTGAAAAGGGAAGTAAATGTAGGGTGTTTGGGAGAGGGGTGGGATTAAATTATGGGGAATCAAATTCAAAATGGGAATTGACACAGTTACTTTTTGCTGATGATACTTTTGCTTATGGGAGATTCTAAAGAAAAATTGCAAAGGTTAGTGGATGAGTTTGGGAATGTGTGTAAAGGTAGAAAGTTGAAGTGAACATAGAAAAGAGTAAGGTGATGAGGGTGTAAAATGATTTAGATAAAGAAAAATTGGATATCAAATTGGGGAGGAGGAGTATGGAAGAAGTGAATGTTTTCAGATACTTGGGAGTTGACGTGTCGGCGGATGGATTTATGAAGGATGAGGTTAATCATAGAATTGATGAGGGAAAAAAGGTGAGTGGGGGCGTTGAGGTATATGTGGAGTAAAAAACGTTATCTATGGCGGCAAAGAAGGGAATGTATGAAAGTATAGTAGTACCAACACTCTTATATGGGTGTGAAGCTTGGGTGGTAAATGCAGCAGCGAGGAGACGGTTGGAAAGGGGCGGAGATGTCCTGTTTAAGGGCAATGTGTGGTGTAAATATTATGCAGAAAATTCGGAGTGTGGAAATTAGGAGAAGGTGTGGAGTTAAAAAAAGTATTAGTCAGAGGGCAGAAGAGGGGTTGTTGAGGGGTTTGGTCATTTAGAGAGGGAAAGGATCACAGTAGAATGACATGGAAGCAATAAATCTATAGGGGAAGGAAGGCGGGGTAGGGGTCGTCCTCGAAGGGGTTTAGAGAGGGGGGTAAAGGAGGTTTTGTGGGTAAGGGGTTGGACTTCCAGCAAGCGTGCGTGAGGTGTTAGATAGGAGTGAATGGAGACGAATGGTACTTGGGACTGCGATCTGTTGGAGTGTGAGCAGGGTAATATTTAGTGAAGGGATTCAGGGAAACCGGTTTATTTTCATATAGTCGGACTTGAGTCCTGGAAATGGGAAGTACAATGCCTGCACTTTAAAGGAGGGGTTTGGGATATTGGCAGTTTGGAGGGATATGTTGTGTATCTTTATTTTTGTTTATGCTTCTAGACTGTTGTATTCTGAGCACCTCTGCAAAAACAGTGATAATGTGCGAGTGTGGTGAAAGTGTTGAATGATGATGAAAGTATTTTCTTTTTGGGGATTTTCTTTCTTTTTTTGGGTCACCCTGCCTCGGTGGGAGACGGCCGACTTGTTGAAAAAAAAAAAAAAAATATATTATATATATATATATATATATATATATATATATATATATATATATATATAATATATATATGTATATCGACAACATTGCCGCTATCACTATGTACCCGCATCACCACCATTACACGTATCCCCTCCATCACATGCATTGCCACTATCACCCCCATCACACACATCACCTTCAAATGCTCCATTACCACTACTATCACTCTCATTACCATCGCTACCAACATTACCCTTGAATAAAAGTCACAATCTTTACCATACCACAACACCAGCCACCACAGCAAACTTAACACCAGGCACTCACAGGAGGCATGTGTTCATGAAGCCTCCTAGGCAGAGCCTCCTCCAGACGATTGTTTTCAAAGTTCCATCTGGCGCCTTCCAGGTAAAGGCCTCTGATATAGGCGCCTGCTTCTGGAGCGGGGCTGTCCTCGTCCACTTCCAGAACCTGCAGAAGTATGAGAAAGATCAAGAACTACCTGGAGGACTGATGACTTGGTAGGGTGACTTAAATGGAGGACTAACAACGTGGAAGATGCACAAACTATCCGAAAACAACAGGGAATACCTGGAATAGTCTGCTTGAAGGTTAGTTAGATTAACGTCAAGTGTGGAAAGTATGATGGAATAATTGAAAATGACTGCTTGGAGGTAAGATGAAGTGTGTGAAATGCTGGGAGCTCAAATCTCGGACACCACAGACAGGAGAAGAGTGTCTCGATCCGGCCATGGAAGTATTAGAAACAAAAACAGGAGCCATTTACGCTGCTTAAGGCCTATTATCTACTTTAAAAGGGGTTATGTAAACAAGGAAACACCAACTAAGAAATAAATGAAATCACAATAAAAATATTATTAAATTCTGTTAAACAAACAAATAAATATCCAAGTTTTATGGCAGTATAATCAAACCTTGTGAATTTATTCTATAACAATTTCTAGCTTATGTTAGTGCTGCATAATTACATATGTAAAAAAGCCTATAATATAATCACTATTGAAGACATAACTGAAGAGTTATATTAATGGCTGGAAAGAGAGGATTATTAATAATATTGTTTATATGAAACGCTAAACCCATGTATGTCACTCAGCGCAAGGAATGAAGGAGGATAATGGGAGCTGCTTGATAGCCACAAGAGATACTTAGAAGTAATAGAGATAGACTGGAAGTTGGATTCCCTGGAAATAAAAGACTCTGAAAGTAAGGATAACTATGTAAGATATAATCTTCGATAAAAAATACAAATCCCTTGAGAATGAGGTAAGTTAATGGAATGAGCCAAGTTGCATGTCTGAAATGCCTTAGAGTGAGATTAGCTAATGGAATGAGCAAAAATGTATGTCTGGAACACCTGGAAGTGAGTATAGCTAAAAGACCCATCACGGTTATATATTTGGAGGACCTGGGAGCAGTAAAATTTCATGGAACAAATAAGATTACACATTTTGAAAACCTTGGAAGTGAGATTAACTTCCAGAATAAGGAAAATTACTCGAATGGAACAAAAGTGAGTAAGGACAAGTTGAGTACCTGAAAGTGGAACCACAGCTGGTCGATGGCAAGGGCGTGGGCCCGGGCATGGTTTTGCAACACTGCTGTCAAGAAGGAGTGTGTGAAGAAGAACCCGCTCAACCAGAACACTCGCGGAGGCCCATTGTCGTACCAACTCTACAGGAAAGCCACAGCTGAATCTTGACACGTCAGAATTCATTTTCGTGTGAAGCTCTCTATCAGGATATCATTTCAAGGACCAGCCAAATGTAGTCATATGTTACTTAAGAATGAGTTACAGGTAACTAAATAGTTTTTTACTATCAAATTAGAGCATGAGTTAAAGGCCATTTATGAGTCACGTGTTTTGTACGATGAACTAACATATAAGGTACAGTGGGAATCTAAGCTTCAATTAAAGCTGGTGAATAAGCTGCGTGAAGTACTATTGATCAGGCTTGCATGTGTTGTAAAAAAATATTTACATAAATAACAACATAACCAGGCACTCACAAGAGGAATCAGAACCTTTATAAGAGGCATCAGGCTCTCTACCCAAATAACTAGATCCTGACTGGATCTGGTATCTGTAACTGAAGAACCTGACCATGTCTATCCTATGTATCTGAGGAATCTAACAGTGTTTGTCCTCTGTATCTGAAGAATCTAACAGTGTCTGTCCTCTGTACCTGAAGAATCTAACAGTGTCTGTCCACTGTACCTGAAGAAATTGGAGTCGTTGGTCTAAGTCGGTGATGTAAGATCCAAGTCCCTTGAGTGTGGGGTATGATCTGGCTCTCCACATAGAGGGTACCCGGCCAGTCCTCACTCCCACCAGCACTTCCTCCACCTCCTCAGACAAGCTCTCACTACCTGCAGCAAAGAACAACACATAACATAGCCGTGTTATGCCCTTCCATAGCTTAGCCGTGTTACACTCTCTATAATGATATCAATGGGAATCAACGTATATACACCGATATGTGTGTATCTCGTAGTGTATATAAACTGAGAGGTATAAATTTCAGTGAAAAAACAGCAAGAGTTATGTAATTCTTCGAGTATACACACTAAGGGTAGTGTATCTCAGGGTATGTTCATTAACAGTTTAATCCATATTCTAGGGATTAAAGTACAGGTGAATGAAGCCTTAATGATCCTGATAGTTTTGAAGCATAAACCAGTTAACTGGCAAATCCTAAACCCCAGGCGGTTTAAGAGATGGCAATACTTTCGGGGGGTCCTGACCTTCAATGGCTCTGAGAACAGCATTAAGTGTGCTGCTGATAGTGTGGATAAGGGTGTTGTAGCGACTCATCTCCTGTACCAGCACCGTGTTGAGACTCTGTTCCCTCATGGTGGGGTATCTGACGAGGGCAGCGTCGACGTGGAATGGAGGAGGGATGCGACCCAAGATTTCCTCACAGGTTCTCCCGACGGCATCTCCTTCGCCGCCCCCGCCCTCAGCTGACGACAGCGACGTCGCCTGTGTAGGCCGAAGAAGTAGACTTTGTTTAGATTAGTAACCCTGGATGGAGGTTTAATAACCCAAGATAATTCAAGAAGTGTCATATTATTGATGTCATGCAATGCCGACAAGTTGATGAATGAGACATGCATAACACACGTGTCTCAGTCATTAAAGCCAAGCAATGTTGCTTATTTCTGCTGGTGTCCTTACTAATTCTTTACCCAGAGGAGCCCCAGGTGCTCTATGACCCCTACAGGTTTAGCATTCTCCTCAAAAAACAATGATAATTAATAATAATAATAATAAGTCCGAAATATGTAATATTCATTTCACTACTTTTAATTGCAATTAGCTAATCCAGCTTCCTCTAATTCTGTCTAGATAGATGAAGAGAGGTTAATTATTTTTATATTTACGAAAGGAGCTAACTAATATAGCAAAGGTTTGGTTAGAGCACGGAGTAGCTCAGATTTCTTGGATCAAGAGCCCTTCACCAGAATCAAAGCACCCTACTTGAAGGGAAGCACAGCAAAATAATAACGTTATGTATTTCATGAAGTGCTAAACCTGTGAGGGTCATTCAACGCAAATAAAACAAAGTGAAGTGGAGGCTCGATCCTTCGTTCACTTATAGTGGCCCGGTTTCTGTTGGTGATAGCTATTAGCAGAGGTAACAAGATGAATGTTCTTAGCTGACCTGCTTACCAGCCGTCATGGCCGGGTTTAGACACTACTCTGGCCTGGGAGGTTGAAGGATCGAGCCTCCAGAGTTTGACACACTTGTCTGACCTGTGTGAGGAGGACGGCTGAGAAGAGCTTGTTAGTTTCGGCTTGGTCCTTGTTGATGCTGGCATTGCTGTTCATGCCGAAGACGTGAGGTGGGGCATCACGGGGAAGCTCAGAGATGTGCTCCAGGAACTGAGCGTGCTCACCGTCTTCAGGAGTCGTGTACACACCTGCAAAAGGCATCACCCTATCTAGTATTGAAGTACACTTGTCCCGGAAGGGTCTTATAAACTTTAGGAAAATGAATATTTGACTAAGTGGTGTGATAGGAAGGGCATATGGAGATGGTATACAGGAGGGGAATATCCAGGTGGTATGGCAGGAGGGATATATCAAAGTGGTCTCATAGGGATATGTCCATGTGGTATGACAGGAGCGACATATCCAGGTGATGTAAAAGAATGAACTCACTTAGATGGTGAGATGAAAGGGATCTGCACAAACAGAGGAAGGACATACCTAGGTGGTCGAAGGAGTGTGGGTTGCCAAGGACGACTTCGGGGTTATAGAAACGCCGCAGAATGGTGCTGAGGGTTCGACGATCTCTCTCATCAGTCACCTTGCCTCCATAGTTACACTCAGCTGTCAGGTACTGCAGTGCCTCCCACGGGATCTCCTGCAGCAGGACTATACGTCTAGTAACCCTCTTGTAACCATCTGTTTAACATATTTTTCCCAATTTTAGTTTATTTAATGAGGAAATATATCTTTATTTACACCATCACCAGACAGTGACTATGGAAGTTTAATGAACATTTGAGGATTGAAACACCAAGTTTAATTAATAGTTACACATCAGTTTTTAGTTAGAGCCAAATTTATTTATAATTACTGATCCGTCATTTGGGATTTTTAGTTTAAAATATACACGGAAACAATACTCTCTTCTACCGTTAGATGAAAGTACTACAAAACCATGCATGTTAACGTTTACACATTCAGTAAAACTCCGTCATCCTCACAAGAACAGCAAACACATCACTACTTGAGATTTGGATTATCGTACAAGACATTTTAGGATTTGGATTATACTGTACTTCACGAAGTGCTAAAATCGTGTGGGATCATCCAGTTGAAGGAGTGGTGGAAGATCAGTTTTCAACGTCTGCTAAGCACAGCCTGAGTTTTGTTCAGCCAGGCTGTTAGTGATCGCCCACTCACCCCTGTGAGTGAGCGTACAACTTAAAAAAATTCTTCAGACAGATTAGGCAAATTAAGGTATTTTTTACTGCATAATTTAAGCTATGCTTGACTAAGATGCCAGGTTAATTATGGAGGAGCATCCAGAAGACAGTACATTTAGAAATAAAAGATAAATTAGGCTTTCAAGATTTTAGGTAGCTGAATCACCTGTGAAGAGGGTCTTGGCAAAGAGAGCAAAGTGCTCTACCACAGTATATATCTGATCTTGAGTCATGGACACAACAATCAAGCTACGACGCAGGTTTAATGCTCTTGTGAGCCAGTGAGTAAGTCATTATACGTTTAACACCCACGCCAGAGTGATTTTTTTCCCAGGAAATGTAAGAGCAGAGCTTTTGTGCCCGTCTCCAGTGTATGAAGCAACGTTATGTCTTGATAAGCTCTCCCAAGCTGTCTTCAACCTTCAGTGTCTCTAGTAAACATGCGCGAGACTGTATGATATTTGTGTGAGGATTTGAGTCTAAAAGATTTTTTTTTTTTTTGCATTCAATTCAAACAAAAATCTAATTTAAAATAAGCTACAGAAAAAAACACACGAAAAATAATAGCTACGTGTTTATAAAAAATATACCAAACATTGGATATGAACAAGACAGAGAAAACATTAAGAAGATCCCAGGGACAATATAGTTTCTGTACGATGGTCTGGGTAAGATTTTGTAGTTCAGCTGTTCACTCTGTAGATTTTATATCTCCATTCATTCACTGAGAGTCAGTCGATTAATAAAAATATAAGTCGATAAAATCTGCTGTTGACTGAATGCTACAGCGGAAAAAAATGCCGAGGTTATCTTACGAAGGCAGCAGCTGTGGTACACTTGTGCAACGTGCAAGGTTGGATTCAAGTCTGTGCAGCATTAATCTCATAATCGTGTGCCCCCAAGAAAGTTATATACTACCTAAATTTTGATTTTCAATAGCTGTGCTGCAATAGAAAAAACATTTTTAAGGAACGGTGTCAAAGCAACTTACATAATTTGATCTAGTATATTCGATTTTTATTTTTGAATCAACTAAGACTATTAATAGGTCGCTTGTATTCTTGTAGCCCTTCCACTTTCTTTGCAGCGAAGCACTATGTCTATTGTGCCTAATGGATAGATAATCCGACCCTGGCAATATAGCTAGTTGTCTGATATGACGTGGAGGTGCGTTCTATACATGCCTGCTACGTGACGAAAATCAAACACATAAGAAATACACAATTTGCATTATTAAGAAGGCAAGAAGCCGTCTTGTGCAACGTGCATGACATTTGCTCACCATGGTTGAAGCAAGGATCCAGCGAGAGGGAGTGAGGGTAGAATATATATTATGCGGGAAAGCATTACACAGACACATGAACTATTTATCACTCACATAGTGCATGCTCTTGTGCTCACACACTGACCTATTCAGCTATTGTTATATAAGACAACTTTTTCTCTTTCAGTTTTAGGAAGCTAACATTGAACTAAAGCTCAAGTACACGTGGGTTTTTCTATCAGTTTATAAGTGATGCTATCAGTGGTGTGTAAAATTCTAAGTACTGAGAGTCAGTAGTATGTGATCCCTAAACGGTTCCCCCGATGATTCGCCTTCTCATCCCCAAACAGAGAGTTAACAAAAGTTTTGTAAATTCTTCAGATAGATTAAGCAAATTAAGGTAATTTTTACTGCATAATTTAAGCTATGCTTGACTAAGATGCCAGGTTAATTATGGAGGAGCATCCATAACTGTCATCCATAAAAAACTGATAACGTTTACTTGGGGACGGTGCGAGTCTTCGGATGCCCGACTCAACTCGTGTGTCATCAAGCTAACACTGAGGACACATGGATACATAACTATTACTTTATTATGATACGTGTTGCAGAGGCAGTGAACTAATGCTTCAGGGGTGACCAAAGTATTTTATTAATATACACATTGACAGACTTAAGTTTCCCATGCTTTGGTCATCGACTTCAAAAACAGTGCATTGAAATGTTGTATGTTTGAAAAGATATAGAAAAAAATGTAAAGAAAATAGCACATAGAGTATAGCATAGGAAAGTCTGATGAGAGGAAATATAGAAAGCATGAGGAAAGGCCCCCTAATCCCCGAGCGGCCCCAGAAGAGATTTTAGTCCACAATGCTTAAAAATTTTGGGTCTACTGGTTAGGTTAGGTAAGGTTCGTCAGGAAACAGGACAAATGTTTCCTGACGCGGGTCTTAGTCAGATGATGACCCGCCTTTGGAGCTTTTGGTCATCTGACCGAGGCCTTCCGCTGGCTTACCGGTCCACCCCTTTAAAAATTATGGTCATTTATAACCATTGTTTTTTTTATTGGGTCTACTGTATGAGAAAGAATTGCGAAGGGGCCCCCATAACATTTCAAGCTTCAGGGCCCGTGTGGAGAATGACTGAAGGATGACACTGATACAGGCAAATAGTAAGAGAGTGACTGGAAAAAAGATACTGAAGAATAAACCACAAATATTATCTATGGAATAAGTCACAACAAGCAGAAAACCTGGAAATAAAAATTAGATCTGAACCATTATCAAAATGAGAGAAGGAAAACAGCGAAAAGCAGTAAGTAGGTCAGGACAGTTGAATATGAAGAGACATTCATGGTAAGGTCTTCTACAAACTACAGCATTTAACAATGTTCTGGGAGGTACAAGTGTCAGGTCAAGTCACGTGTGTTCTAAAGATCAGAATATAATATAACAGTGTTCTGGAAGATGGAAGAATCTACATACACAAAACCTGGTAATACAAGGACTCACGTATCAAAACTATCCTTTATTTCGGCAATGTTTCGCTCATGAATTGAATGAACTCTGTGGGCAAAACGTCGTCTTTGTACTACCACACTTGTTGACATCTTTTTGCCTTTCGTATCATTCATTATGGAATTCGATTAAAAAAAAAAAAAAAAAAAAAAAAAAAAAAAAAAAAAAAAAAAAAAAAAAAAAAAAAAAAAAACACGCGCCTTTGGAGGATGAAGAAGAAAAGATCATTTATGGGATGGTCATGTGACACGGTGTAATGATAATGATTCTATGTGCTTCTTGATAGAAGTTTTACTATCACATACGAATGCATATGAAAATGTAACTGAAACACCATGAAAGCACTCGGAGTTCAACTATCAATTTCTATTATTAAATTTCACGTGCATATATGCAAACAGGGTTATTCACATCTTTGGATAAAAAAAACATATAACTCTAAATTAAACAACTTTAGGCTGTAAATAGTAAGGTGATACAGACAGCCTATGGAAAAAAAAAGCTTGTATATATTTCAGGACGTTTCGTAAGGAAAACGTTCCGCCACGAGTGGCTAAACGTTTCCCTTACGAAACACTTTAATAAATGTACTGAACATTCTCCACAGCTATACACAATGTTGTCATTGATTACGAAGCTACATATAACTAATGTCAAGGTAGGAAATCGTACCACATAGGATCCCAGGAGGTTGCGGAGCTGCTGTGCCGAGATTCTGAGGTCAGTGTCGGAGAAAGAGTAAGGAACGTTCCAGCCGAGGGGCCCGAAGAGCCTCCTTTCCTGCACGACGGCGTGGAAGAAGCAGAGAGAGTACACCAGCCTTCGGAACCTCTCAGAGGAGCCGGGACCCTGAAGAAAGTCAGGCTCGGAGAGTGGGTCCGCCAAGTACAGCCTGCCGAAGACGACAGCGGTGAAGTCGTAAAGATATCTTATCTTGGTGGTTTAGTTAATGGGGTTCAAAACCTATCGACTACATTACGGCCATTAAGGTTTGCATATAACCTTTTCACCACTAGACATGAATACTTCAATCCCTAAAATAGGGATTACAGTAAACTTTCAGTTATATACTCTGAGAGAAATAAACCTCTCAGTGTATATATACTGTGTATTTACCTGTATTTCTATCAATATAACCATCTTTTCTTTCATTTATCTTTTTATATACGTATTTATGTTTTGTCTATCAATCCATATATTTGTTTTCTCACATTATTTCTCTCTTTAAAGCCGTATGGTTACAATTATATCCAAAGAGTATATATTCTGAGAGGTGTGCGCATCTCTGCACAGTTACACCAAAAGGTTTGTATCTCAGCGTATATACCAGATGTTTGTATCTAAATTTATATATACCTAGATGTGTGTATCACTTTTTACATGTATAAGCCACATTATTGAGGCCCAAACATTTCGGTAGCCTTGCAGACATACCTCTCGAAGTTGTGTACAGAGACTGAGCCACGATTACCGGATGGAGGATCGAACCTCCACCACTCTTAGAGAATGAACTTTCACGAAACACACTACAGTACCTCTTGAGGTTGGCCCTCAGTCCCTTTGGTGGCTCTGTGACCATCTTGATGCTCGACTGCAACACAGACACTGGGAAGTGTGCAGACGGGTAGCTGGTGAGCCACAGTCGGAAGTCTGAGTGTGTAGTTTCTGGGTTGAGGTCCTCACATAGCTGCAAAGGCCGATGGAATAGTGAACTGCATACTAATGATCTAATGATACTCACAACACTGACAAGAGAAACAACTTATTCTGGGTACTAACCTTCTCGAGTGATGGCATGAAAGACTTGGCCAGGTGACAGTTCTGGAGGAGGACCCAAGTGCCTATTCTCGTTCCTTCTTCGACGAGTCGTGTCGCCACGGGTCCTTGACCCTGTCCCAGCGATACACTCTGCAGACGGTCTCCTCCCATACCCTGGAAGGGTCAGTAAAGAGGCGAAGTGAGGCTCATAGAGGATCAGGTTTTGCCGGAGCCCCACAAGGACCTTGTTAGGTAAAGGAGACGAAGTCAACTAATGAGACATTGCGACATGTTTCCTTCTTCAGGAGCTTTATCAAACCCTTGTATTTTTCTTATAATATCTGATAAAGCTAAACAGGTGAACAAGGTAAACTTCCCATGACACTGCCTACCTGATCTTCGGCGAATTTAAGGAGGAGATTGGTGGGGTCTGCTCCCGGGGTGAGCAGGAAAATCAGAGGGAGACAGCAATTGGAGTCTGTGAAGGTGCGGGTCAGGTCGAAAGGCGGAGGTTCAATGTACGCCTTCCCCAGGAGGTCTGCGAGGGAGAGCATCATCATTATATTCAGTGATAAACGCTAAACCAGTAGGGAGGCAATGAAGTTTAAGCCCAGGAAGGGGAGGGGTAGTTGCAATTCCTTGAATCGAGAGCCCTTCACTGGCATCAAGGTGCCCCTCCTGGGAGGGACAAGAACGGCAGTCAGTGGTCGGCTTGCTGTTACACAACATCTCTCTTCCCATCAGATATTTTTCTGTATTTAATGATTTGTTGGCTCTTTGTGTTAATCACTTCTTTATATTTGTGCTTTGTGTTTCCAAGTATAAATAAATAATATATTTATTTATTTATACTTGGAAACACAAAGCACAAATATAAAGAAGTGATTAACACAAAGAGCCAACAAATAATATATATATATATATATTATATATATATATATATATATATATATATATATATATATTTTATATATATATATATATATATATATATATATATATATATATATAATATATGTCGTGCCGAATAGGCAGAACTTGCGATCTTGGCTTAAATAGCAACGTTCATCTTGCCATATAGGACAAGCAAAAATTTCTGTATGCAATAATTTCGCCAAAATCTTTCTGAACCTAACGAAAAAAATATATTTCACTGTGTTTGTTTAGTATTAAATTATTGTAAACAAATCTAAAATATATTTAGTTGAGTTAGGCTAAAATAAATTGTTCTTGTTATAACAAGGTTAGGTAAGTTTTCTAAGATTCTTTTGGTGCAAAATTAAAAATTTTGACATTAACATTAATGAAAAAATATATCTTTAAACGTATAAGAGAAAATTTTAGAAAGGACTTAATTTTAAATGAGTTCTTGCTAATTGACCAGTTTTACATATTCGGCACGACATATATATATATATATATATATATATATATATATATATATATATATATATATATATATATATATATATATATATATATATTATATATATATATATATATATATGCAATAAAATCATAGTGGACAGGTGATATCACAATATGTGAGAAATCACGAAAGTGCTTGTTCTGCATAAGGAGAGAGAGAGAAATTAGTGACCAAGAAAGCACGATAGTTTAAAAAATTTCACATGCATACTAAAAACCATATGTTTTTGAAGATGATTTCTTTAATTTTTTCAGCATCTTACCTTTTTTAAGGCCCCTCCAGAATGAAATCCTGGCTGCGCTAATGTATACATACGATAATTATAAAAGAGTAATGAACGCTTATAAATGCTGAGCAATAACTCACATGGGGACAGAAACAAAAAATATAATGTGGGTCTGTCAATTATGACCCCCAACTGGTGTCCTCTTCTGCTGAAGGGAACTATACTGTACAGTTGGGGTGGTTAAAATACACAGATGTACTTTATTTTCCAGTTATGTTTAAGAGCTGTCCTGCAATAAGTACACAAACACATAAGACCTACCTAACACGTAGTCGCACTATGTGAGGTTCTGGGACTCATAAAGCAGACACAGAACCTACCTATCACGCAGTCTTCTAGAGCACTATGCGAGATTCTGGGACACAGGAAGCAGATAAACACAGAAGACCTACCAGCCACATAGTCCTGCAGAGCACTATGAGAGGTTCTGGGACACGCAAAGCAGACACAGAAAGCCTACCTCCAACATAAGTCTTCCAGAGCACTATGTGAAGTTCTGGGACACAGGAAGCAAACATACACACAGGACCCACCAGCCACGTAGTCTTGCACGGCTGCCACCACTTTATCTGGACGAAGGCATCGGAGAACACACAACAGCTGCATGCGGCTGAGCTCATCCTCTCCCTCGCATGGAATGATCTCTTTGTGTGGGTTCTCGGACTCGAACACCGCCCGCCACTCATGTAAGTGCTGAGGAAACTCCTCCACCAGGTGCTGAATGAGGAGCACGGAATAAGTGAACGGCTGTACAAGGTTAAACGGATGCATATCACCGGTACACCACCAATCATGGATAATATCACACTTAA